ATAAATTTATTATTTGATAAATTATTAAAAGAAATTTAATTACTAAATATTTTCGGTAATGTATACGAATTAAAACGAATAGGTAAGATTTAGTGCAAAATCTTAATTTAGTAAAAATGATTATTTTTTTGAAATATCTGTTTAAATGATTAAAAAAGCGTATTTAGATCATATTTTTGATTATTTTTATCATGTTTTTTTAGAATTTTATGAAAAAATATAAATTTAAAATATAAGTATTTCACAACTTTAAGATAACTTTCATTGAAATGTATGATATTTAAATAGATATTAATTTCTTTATTGCTAAATCTTTTTTGTGATATAAATATAAGGTTGATAAATTTTAAAGATATGAGTGATATAATGTAATATCTTATCATATGCAATTGATTCTTAACAAAAATATTTTTTTTAGTTTTTTGAAAGATGAGAATGATTAAGTCGTTATTTAAAAAATTAATTTGATTTTTAAAAGTTATAAAAAAATTAATGAATTCTTTGAAAGAATTATCAGGTTTTTGTGAATTATTGATTTTAAGCATAACTGAAGACCGGAATCAATTTCATCGGCTAAAGTTATGTTTTTCTGAAGTTTTTAATGAGAAAGAAAGAAATGTATTGTCGCTTTTTAAGAAATTGGAGGAATTGAAAAATGAAAGAAAAATGCTTTTATTTGAGGATGAAATCGGTTTGTTTTTTAATTATAGTGTTTTTTGTTTAATGTTGATTTAGTTGTGGATAATAGTATTTTAGATCAAGAATTATCGGAAAAAATTAAAGAAGCAGAATTTGAGCTGCTTGTCGCTAATGCAACGAATACGACAAAAGATCTTATAATTGAAAGGTATTTTCTAAGTGTTTTATATAATTTTGATAGCAATATAGTTTTGTTGAAACAAATCCTATTTTGCAAGCAGTTTATTCAACTCAGGATTCAACAAAACAAAATAAGTAATTTGATATATCTATTTTCTCATTTTTTAATTTTTTAGAATTATAGGTTTATGTCTTGAGAATTGTGATAATATTATTTCCAATCTTTTAAATCTCCATAATATTTTAATAAGAAATGAAAAAAAAATTGCCCCTCTTCAAAAAGAAGTTTTAAGTATATAGATGTTGTTTGTTTCTTTATTTATAACTTTTTATTAGAATCATTTTTAAAAAATAAAGAAAAGGTTGATAAAATTATGGGAATTATTACAAATATTAAGGATCGTGAAGAGAAAATATTATCAGTTTTGGAAAAACAACAAAAAGACAAGTACTATAAATTGTTTTTTTAATATTTTTAATATTTCTTAGACTTATTAAGGAAATGAATGATATAAAAAATCGTGCTACTATTGTAAAAAACTGTTTGCAAGTAATTATCTTTGAATTTTGTTTTTGTATTTATTTTTTAGGGCATAATTCTAGAGAGTGGAATTGATTGGTATGAAAATGAATATTGGAGAAACATAATGCTTAAGGCTGGCGAACTTGATAATTATTAGTTAGGTTAGGTTTTGAGTATTTATAAATTTAAATAAGGATTTTATATTGTGGTTAATATAAAATTTAAACTCGTAGATTTCCTATAATGTTTCTTTTATATTTATTATGGTAATATAGCGTCAGTTATTATAAATATTTATTAAAAAATAAATATTGATTTTTTGGAATTATTTGAAAGATTAAATATTTAATAAGTAAATTTTTATAATTTTTCGTTATTATTGTTTGAATTTTCATTTGCATGGATTTGCTTTTGCCACATAGAATAATATAGCCCCTTTTCTTCTGTTTCCTCTCCTTTAGCTAAAAGTTCATTATGTGTACCACTTTCTACTATATGTCCATCTTTCATACAAAGAATAAGATCACAGGATGTAATAGTAGAGAGTCTATGAGCAATACAAATAGTAGTACGACCCTGAGTTAATTTCTTCAATGCAAGTTGAACTTGTCTTTCTGTATGTGTATCAAGAGCAGACGTTGCTTCATCTAATAAAATTATCTAATATTATCAATAATTAAAATAATAGTAATATATTTATATATACTTTAGGATTTTTTAAAATTGTTCGTGCTATTGCAATCCTTTGTTTTTCTCCGCCACTTAAACGTAGTCCTCTTTCTCCTACTTTTGTATTATATTTCTCTGGCCAAGTTATAATTTTATCATGAATTTGCGCCATACGTGCTGCTTCGAAAACTTCTTCGTCAGATGCATCTGGTTTTGCATAACGAATATTAAACATAATAGTGTCATTAAAAAGAACAGTATCTAGAAATGTTAAAACACTAGATTTTTTAGGATAATAAAACACCTTGTGGGACAATTCCTATATTTTTTCTTAAAGAGTTAAGTTTTACATTATGAATATTTTGCCCATCAATTGTAATTGTTCCAGAATCAATATTAAAGAATTTAAATAAACATCTAAATATTGTTGTTTTTCCAGATCCACTCTCTCCTTTATTTAAAATTATTAGATATTTAATAAATAATATTTTGTTTACTTGCCTACCAAAGCAATAGAAGCACCTGGTTTTGCATGAAAACTTAATGCATTTAATGCATTTTTTCTTTTATTATAGCTAAAATTAACATTATCTAAATTCTTTAGCAATATTTAGGTATTAATTTTAAAAAATATACCAAACATGACTTCTCCTTGCGTTATTTTTATATCAATAGCATCGGGATTGTCAGAAACTGCTGATTCCTCACTAAACTTTTAAATTGTTATTTAAAATAATGATAGAAATATTTCTTACTAGTTCCAACATTCTTTCTGCATCTACTAGACTAGATTGTATAGATCTATAGAGACTTGATTTGTTTTGTTAACTTATAATATTCTAATCAATATTATTCTACCTTCCAAAATAGTTTAAAGGTCCTTAGATATGATTAAATATTATTTTTAAGAAACATTAGAATACCTTGTAATTGAGTCATATATGTCAATAGAGATACAAAATCTCCCACAGAAGTTAGGTTTTTAATAACTTTATATGCAGAAAGGGATGTTATAGAAAGAAGACCTGCTGTATATATTATATTTTGTACTACATTTAACAAATTTAAAGAGCCTAAAATAATTAGATGTTATTTTTGAACAAAGCTATCTTTACTTAGAACTTTGAATTCGGCTTTTTGATACGTTTTAATTGCATTTTCATGGCGATTAAACTCAAAAAGTTCCGCATTAAAATACTTAATATGTTAATTAATTTTAAAATGTACTATATAACAAACCTTTACAGTTTCATAATTAGTTATAGAATCGCTTTTTATTGAATACTCCTCCCTGTGTTTATTGACCATATCTCTTCTATTTATAAATGTTTAATTTTAATATAAATCTTAATATTATAAAACTAACCGATATCCTGTTCTCCATTCAGTAATTTTAATTGTTACATAAATATATGAAATTGTCATAATTATAACATTAAGAGTAAAATAGGCATCAAATTTTATGAAAAAATAAATAATAGCAACAAAAATATCAATAATTACTGGTAAAACTTGAAATATAACCATTTCAAAAAATGTATTTATAGAAGAACCATGGTCTAATGCAGTTATGATCTCTCCTGTTTTTTTTGATAAATGAAAATCTAATGAAAGAGTATGAATATGTTCAAAAGCCTTGAGATTATTTAATAGATAATTATAAATAAAAAATAATACCTTTGCAGAAAGAGTTCGATAGGCATGTTGATTAATTGGTATCCAAAGAGAAGATCTAATAGACCCAAGCAAACCCATATTCCCTTGTAAGAATCGATAAAACATAAAAAGAAAGATAGATATCCATATATTCTCTAAGCTATTAGTATTTTTAGTAACAGCAATTAGTTATAACTTTTTTTATCTGCATCGGAAATAAGTTTATCTGTGACAATTCCTAACTGCTGTGGTGCCAAAATATTTATATATCTTGAAACAATCAAAAGTACTAAAAATTTAGAAAAAAATATTTTATAATAAGTTCATACTAAAACAAATAAAAATTATAATCTGCAGGAATAAGATGTCTTTAGGCCAAAGATATGGAAAAAATAAATAAAATTTTTTAATATAGTTCCACCATGTGTTTTCTAACTTTTTAGCATTTAAAATTCCTTTTTCCTTTTTTAAATTAGAAAAAAATTAAAATGAAAGAATTTTTATTTACTTTAATATCTAATAATTCATCGTCTTTATATATTTGATCTTGCTCAAGTAAAGGTTCGTTTTCTAGACTTGCTAATAACTTTTTTTGTTTAATCAAAAAATATAAAGTAAAGAAAAACATTGAAATTAAGATTCTTGATAAAGCTATTATCGAATATGATACTTCCCATTTAGATATAAATGGTTTTGATAATATAGAAAAAATGAGTATTGTATCTGCTAATGTTTGAAAAATATAAATAATTAAAGTATTCAACTTTATAGAAATCTGGCGCTTTATCTCAATAGTATTTATAAATATTATACTCCATGAAAAGATACTGCTTAATGTATAAAACTAAGAACTAATAGGTATTATTTCTATTAAAATTTAAAATACTACCACAGAAGATTGTGCAATCCACCAATCTTGCTTGACTAAAATATAAACCAGAATTAATATAGAATCTCCTGCCTAAATATAGTTATTTTTGTTGTCTTTTTATAAGCTAAAATATACAAAAGTTAATAAAATTAAAAAAGTTGAAATAGTTTGAAGTAATGATGAAATACTGGATTTTTGTCTATTATGTTTTTCTGGAACTATTGAAGCTACAATATATAGCGTAAAAATAAGCCATGGAAAGGTGTAGTGAATAGTATCAGTTATAGTATTTATTTTCATTATCAAAGATTTATTAAATTATCGTGGTACATGTAAAAATAAATTATAAAAATTAAAATGAAAGATTAATATTATAAAAATAAAATTTTTGTGCTTTGCTGTACTCTGAAATAATAAAAATAATAATAGTGAGATTTCATAATTTATAAAAACAAAAAAGCTATTCCATTATTGGTAGTCAGATTAACTTGTTAAAATCTAATAGAATTATGAATCCAAATTTATTTTTCTTATATCAAATAATTGAATAATGTTAGAAAATTCAAGTCTTTCTGGAAGTTCTGTTGTAATAATAGTAGGTTTGTGCCTAGAGGGTCCTTTGGGTCTTGTTTTTCGTAAATCGTGTAATATAGATGGTTGCGATAAAGGTTCAGTATTTCTAAGCGTTGGAGAGTTAGACTCATTTTTTTCATTGTTACTAGAATGAAAATGTGTAAAACCTGTTATTTTAGGGGGACCAGATTTTAGTTTCTTTTCTAAATCCTGAGAAAATTGAATTCGTGTACTGGCTGAGTTTTTAATATTAGATAATGATGTATGTAATGAATGAGGCACTGTAGATGTTATTTCTTTTTTTATAGGTCTTGATAAATGAATAGACTTATCATTCGTGTCTGAATTAGCTAATTGCTGAAGATTTTCACTTTTTAAAGTTTTTTGTTGTTTATTAAAAGTATATTCTGGATTTTGAGATGAGTTACTTATTTCTTTTGATTGTATATTTTGAATAGATGAGTTAGTATTTTGTATAAATTCTGGCTTTTCAGTTTTACAAGTATTTCTGTTAAAACCTAACAAAATTATTGATATTTTTTTTTGAAAATGCTACTTAAAGAAATATTACTTTGTCCATAAGATATGTGGTCTGAAATATTTTTTTCATTATCTAAATCAGTATTACTTGATATGGAATTTTGAGCGCATATTGTTGCGGTTTTTAAGTTTTGGGATTTTTTGTGCTCTTTTTCTTCTTTAGATTTTTGAAATACATTTGATATATCGCTGCTAAAGCAGGAGTTGTCTCCTATATTCCTAGAAATAATATTCCCTGAAGATGATTTTATGTTTTGGAGAAGATCAAAATCCTTAATAATTTCAGGTGAATTTGTACCAGTCACAGTGGAATCATTATTCAAAAAATTAGAAAGATGTGCACCTTTTTGTAAAGAAATAGAGTCTGCAAAGAAGAGATTATCATTTTCGTTATGCTTTTTTGTTTGTTTATTCTCAATAATAGAATTTTTTTCTATAGAACTTGATTGATAAATATCATGATCATTTAGATAAAAGGATACGTTTATTTCATTTTCAAGTTTAGATGGAGGTTCCTCGGCAAGCATTCCGTTAGTTTCATTATAGGTATATTTTTGGCATTTTTGCATGTTAAATATTGACTCAGTTGGAGTTAAAATAGAGTTAGGTTTTTGAGGCGAGAGCAGTTTTTGTGAATCCGGTTCAGAAAAATAGCCAGATAAGCCAATTTCTATGTTTTCTTGAGTGGTATCTGCAGTGGTATTAATATTTTTTTTAAGATGTTCCGTCTGTTTTGTTAAATTCTGTTTATTAAAATTAAATAAAGGATCTGAAATTTGTTCTTGACAAAGAGATGGAAGTGTAGTACATTTTTCCTTATTAAATTGTGAATCCTTTGTTTGTTTTGTGGATTGTCCTGAATATAAAACATATGTCATAAACTTTTGTGGACTGTTAGGATGAGGTGGAACAGGTGGTAAAGACATAAATATAATGATTTTCCTTAAGGTAATAATAATAAATATCTGAATAATTATATAATATATGTATTATCAACTCAGTTTTTTCGATGGAAGTTTAACAATATTAAGGTTAAAAATTATTGAATTGCTCTAGGTTCGCCGATAAAAGTAATTTTTAAAAAAAAAAACACTCGATTAAATATATCTATTTTTATGTTCTTAAGATGTTAACCATAAAATAAACTAGAGAGATACAATATATTCCTTCTCCAGGAAGTTTATAAGATATATGAACAAATAGTTCCTGTAAAATAATATAGATAGTAAAATTTAATATAAAATAATAATTGGATTTTTCTCCAAAAATAAAAAATGTTATTTATCTGTATTCCCAATAGTCATTTCCAAAAGAAAAGCGAAACTCTTAGCGCAAGAAAAGAGCATGTATAGATGTACCGGAAGAATTCTAATATAATCAATCTAATTCCTAAAAATATTTGGACTTATAGAATTTATAGCCATATAATTAGTTTCATCATTGGTATCGGGATCTCCTACGAATAAATTGCGACCACCACGTCTAAAATGAGTGCGTAAATGAGCACGTAAATTATCACTCCGAGAAAACCATCGTCCACATTTCCTTATACTACATTGAAATGGTTTTTCACTGGTATGTGAACGTCCATGACGCTTAAGATGCTCATAACGTTTAAAACGCTTATTGCAAACATCACAGATATGTGTTTTATCGAGAGAAGAAACTATCAAAGGAAGAGAATGATTATCCTTGTATGGTATTAACGACCTCTCAGGAGTATATTGATATTGATAATGATTAAGTACTGTACCAGCAGCGATAACCTGTGCTGATGATTTCTTGTCACAAAAAGAATCTGTTAGAGGTTGAAAGAATGATGAAGGATAAGATAAATGTGGTGTAGATACACGTGAATTATGAATATAGTCAGAAGAATTCGCATCGTAGTCTACCATCTTAGCGCTTTCAAGACATGATTGATTTTTCTTAGAAAAGGATTGCTCATAAAGATTATTTGACAATGAAAAAGCAGGTATATGTTGCATTTTAGATGGAGTGGCATAAAAATCTTTATTAACAATACTTTCAAGTGATGTTAAAGGAAACATTTGAGAAGGTGTTTCAAGAGTACTTGCAGTTGACATATTAGAAGATATTGAATCACTACGATAAATATGATAAGGTGATGTAAAAATTTGCTCTGAGGGTAACATTGAATAGCGCTGCTTAAACGGTAATGTTGTAAGATGCTGATGAATCAATGAAAAAGATAAAGATTTATAAACAACTATCGAGAAACGTATAACTCGGCTGGTTTATCTCTATAGTATTTAGCAAATAGATAAAATATAATAGATCTACAAAAAGTTAATATAAAAAGGTAATATAAAAAGTATTATTAACGCGTTTAAAAAAAACGTTAGCGTTTCAAAATTAGAACTAAAGTTTCTTTAAATAAAAATTGCACTATTGAACTCAATAGTATTTAAATTGGCAATAAAGCTGACATATGATATATGTTCAAACCTATATTTTGCCAATTGTCTATCAGTTATTTCATAAAGATTCTTAAAGTCTAAGCAATGTTCTTTCACTTTGTTAAAAAATTGAGTTGAAAAATATTTTTTAAAATTAAAAGAAGAAAAGTGGACTTAAATTCATATAAATTGAACCAAGTTGTAGAATTCTGGAAAAGCAGCAAAGGCACTTCCCGTCGAAAAGATGTATTATAAAACGCAAAGGACAAGTGAAAATAGCAATGGTAATAGATAATATAAATGCGTAAAGCTGATTGAATCTAAAAGGAGTTGTTGGAGAGTGACGTTAATGCACCATCCTAAAATTGTTATTCATGCATTCTAGAACATTAAACATTCTTCCAGATTCTTTAATCATACCTTAGTATGTATAACTGGCCTCCCTTAATAAAAATCCGTCTAAAGCTAAACCTGTTTTGTATAACCCTAACAAAAAAGTAACTATATCTATTACAAACATGGTTTTGGTACAATGTTGCAGTAATTTGTTGTTACATTAGACTTATGGCTTGTCTTTATATAGTTTAGTTTTACTGTCGTAAAAATTAAGACTTAATTATGACAATTAGAAAATTCATGGTAAGAATAAATTCATAAATTCAGAGTTTAAAAACGATGATAAATCTTGTTATTAATTTCCATAAATAGATTTAGTATGATTTCGGATATCACGGAATTCGATTTATAAAAGATTTAGGTGTCTGCAGGAATACATGTATGCACTAGTCTGTATAAAAGAACATTTATTAAAGAGGGTTTTTTACTTCGCAATATCCCCATATTACTTTATGTGATGAATTATTTCTTTCTTTGGTAAAGTCTAAATTTTCTGTATTGACATGCTATCAAGATGTACTGTGTGTCTTATTAAAATAAATAAACTATTTAACTGTAGGAAGAATAGCAAGTTTATTTAGGCAAACAATTCATGTCATTTTTATTTATATAATAGTACATTAAATTTTTGTTCTATGAACATTATAATTATTCCATAACATGTTTTTATTGTTTATATGTGTAGGGTTTAAAAATTATAACCGATAATTTAGAGATAATAAAAAAGTTTAAGTATTGAAATTAGTGAAAGTTAGAAATATGGTATCAAATAATAAGCAATAGTTTATATAAATTGTTTTTACGATATGAAAGTATTGCTTATTGGTAAAATTGTTTTTTTTAATTATTGTTTCACAAGATGATTATTTTTTTGTATAATTATGTTTTAGAAATATTTGCAAGGGATGTATTATTGTTACTTTTAGAGTAAATTTTGGAATGTTCTTAATGTTTCAAGAATATTGGCGCGTTATTGTATAGTCTAGCTATTCATATAAACAAATGTATGATCATGTTTAATAAATAATATTTAAAATTATTTTCTGTATAAGTTTCAAAAGAACAAATTTTATTTTTCAAATGTTTAGGATTTCATTTTCTAACATAGGGTTTATAAATTGGATTTTTTTTTGGAAATTAAAAAAGTAAATTTTAATAATTATTAGGATTTATGAAGCTAAAGTTTTATGTAATCAAGACTTTATTAAATTATCTATTATTTAATTATTAATTTTTATAATTGGTATTTATACAAAGCTGGTGTCTAAAAAAACAGTTGTATATACATATGTGAATTTGTATTTATATATATTATTGAAAAAAGATTTTACTTAATTTCAAAAAATTTAAATTATAGGAAATTTTATAATTAAGTTGGCCAAGACTGATATAATGGTAATTCTGAATAAGTTTTGTGCATAGGTAATGCCCTAACGATTTGTTATATTATATTTTAAAAAAAAATACGTACCAATTTAATATATTTATAGCTAGAAACATAATACATAGTATGAAAAAAAAATATTTTATACAAAGGGAAATATATGTCTTGATTTCCCTCTTTTTAACCTCATATAAAAATTGAAGTTTCGACAAATCATCTTTTGAAATAGAAACCTTGTCTTTAAAATCTTGTTCGAATTTTTGTATTCTAAGTTCCAGTTCTTCTACATTAACAATTGTACTTTTTAATTCTTCTTGCAAAAGTAATAACATTTTTGTGAGCTGATGGTCTTCATTTTGAGTTTTTGAAATATGAGAATGTTTACTCTTTTCACCAGAAATATGAAAATTTGATAGCGTTTCAGTGTATGTTCGAGCTATATAATATAAGAAATTGATTATGTAAGATTATATATATATACTTTGTGGTGTGGTTGTCCATGCGCCTGGCCCTAAAAGTTTTATAGTTTTATCAATAGTAGGATCAGTAATATTGCATGATCTCTTATCTTCTGAAAAGGATGTTATGTCATTATGAATGTCATTTTCATGAAAATTATCTGTTTCTATTATACTATTTGATTTTTTGTTAAGAATATTTTTAGACTCTACATTTAATTGAGTATCTGAAACGTTGTGTTTAAAATCTTGATCATATAATGCCATTTCTTTTAGAATTTTGTAGGAAGTATCTTTTTTTTTTTCTGCAGTTTTTTTAGTATGTCTTGTAACTTTATATAATGGGGTTGAATGAATTGGTTTTATTTCACTTTCTTCAGAACAAGATGTAGATGCTCTTGAGTCTGACATAAGATCAGGTAGTGGTATATAACTTTCCATGTGTCCAGAGAGAGGATAAATAGGTGAAACGTTTGTTGAAAGCTTCATGAAATATTCAGAAGAATTTGGAGATTTTATGGATATATCCTTTTTAGAATTTCCCAAATCTTCATAATTATGTATACTAGATTGAATAGTCGTGGCGTTGCTATTTTCTGAAGATTGTGATTTGTTATATAGCGAATATGATAATGGGAAAAATTGATTTGTTTTTTCCTGTATTTTTGATGAAGTAGAAGAACCACATGCTCTCTCAAGTCTTTCAAGATCGTTAGATAGTTCACGAATAAAAGGTGGTGATAATGAATATATTGAAGAATGTGGAGATTTCGATGTTGTTAAACGAATAATGAGCTAAAGCTTAATTAAAAATTAAAAATAAGTTTACAAATAACACACTTCTTCTTCTGATAATTTTTCATGATTTAATGGTTTTTCTTTGAGATTTCTTCTATGGTCTTTCAAAAAATTATTTATCTGTTTTTCTGTTTGAGGTTTATGAAATCTGGATATGTTTGATTCTTGATTAGGAAAATTTAAACAATCTTGATTTTCAGAAAGAAATTTAGATCTGAAAGTGCTTATATTTTTGAAAGAAGTCATAAATATTTTCTTATCTATTAAATTTAAGCTTTATCAAATCATGGAAATTTTGTGTTGATGTTCGAGAATTGATTCGTTGTAACTTAAAATTGGCCTAAAAATATATATTTTATAAAACTAAAGAAATATTGATAAAATGTTTTTTTCATGCTTTTATTTTCTTTTTTAAGGAATAGTAATCTTGAATATGTATATAATATGTATGAAAATGATTATAAAATAAATATTTAAAAATTTTTATTGTTAATAAACTTAGTTTCCCAAAAAATGCTTATAATACTAGCTGATCCTATTCTTTCTGTCTCTACTTAGTTTTTTTTTTTTGAAAAAATTTAATGTTTTTATTTCTCTTCTGTCTTTTATATATATATCATTAATAACCTTTTTATAAAAACAATATTTTTAGTGACGCAACAACACCTAAAGCTGTATTTGTTTTTACGAAGACGATATCTATCTTTTTACAACATATACAAGTGGTAATTTTTTGTTTAAAACTATGAAATGATAATTCGATGATTATTTTTGTCGATATTCTACAATGTTTTGATAATAGACAAAATTTCTTTAAAAATATAATTGCAATTTCCTTTTTTTTGTTTCTTTGGTATTAATGGCCATAGAAACTTCTTTAATATCATTTTTTGTAAGCAATTTGGAGTTTAAGTTGTTATATTTGCATATTAGTTGAACATTAAGAAAATTTAAGAGTACAGATACATAACATTTGAGTCTTTTAAGGGATTTAAATATAGTTTTAGTCGGGAGGAATTAATACAAATAGCTACTAATTCATGATTAGATACCTCTTGGAAGAGCTATTAGATCTTTACAGTATCAGTACAAAGAATATAATTGATGATTTTAGGAATGCAATTAGGTTTTAATAATTTTTTAAATTCGAATAATTTTAATTCTGCAAGGATTTCAATGAGAAATTTTTCATTAATAGTTACGATATTTGTCCTGATTTCTTGATTTAATACATTATTGTATATATAATATTTAAAAATAGACTGTGTATTGTTAGATATGCTTTATTTCTAATGAAAATTATTTTATTGAATTTATTATATTTTAAATTAAAAATAACTAGATCGAAAAAATGATATTACGTCATTAAATGTATATATATGTAGGTAAACATATAGATATAAATTAAATATGTTTTTATACAAACAAGTGGTATTTTGATATAAGAATTCTTTGTTTTTGTAAAGTCTATTTTTGATATGAAAATGTTTAAATATATAGCTTTCAGTAAATTAAAATTATTTTCTTTTAGGAAATAAAAAACTATATCTTTAACTTGTTAAATATGGCGTAATTTTAATTAAATGTTCTAGTTCAAGATTAAATTTTGTAAAATATATCGTAAAATTTATATAGTATCATTGATATTATGACAAATACAATGGCTAAATATTTTTTTATAGATTAATATATTAATAAAGTCTTATATGTTAGTTTAGTTTATTTAAAAGGAATTTAGGATTTTTTGATATAATAGGTTTGAGTTGTAATGTTATATAAAAAATCTTTTTATTAATATAAAAATGAATATTTCAATTGATTTTCGAGTTTTTCTTTTTTTTTCAGATTTCCAATTTATAATTAAATATTATGAATATTTTTGTTTTAAACCTTATTTATTAGATAGGTTTTTTAGAATATATGATTAATTGCATATGTATGGATTTTGTAAAGATTGTACATGCTATTTTTGTTTTTTTTTTTATAAAAGTTTTTTATATTAAAAGTATATTGGAATTTAGTAATAAAGATTTATATATTTTTATAATTAAATTTTTATTTTTACTTTTACTTTTCCTATAAATACCTGATATTTATTCAATAAAGTTTTATTGAATGAATTGTTTTCTTTGGAGAAATTTGATTACGAGGAGTTTATCTACTAGAATAATGGTTCAGAATCCAATGATATGGGTAGATTGTGGTTTGTTGAAAATGTCTGTTTTAAGATTTATTGATTTTTTAAAAAGAAATGTCCGGTTTGGATCCTGAAAAACATGAATTACTTGAAATTGCTGTTCTAATTACTGATGGAAATTTAAATATCATAGAAAATGTATTTATTGTGTTTAATATATTTTTTGATTTATACTTATTTGAATTATTGTTAGGAAGGATTTCAAAGAGTTATTCATCACCCAGAACATATTTTGAATTCTATGGACTCTTGGTGTAAAAAATATCATCAAGAGGTAATTTTCTATTGAATAAATTTATAATCATATAACCTAGCGGAATAGAATGGCCTTATTCAGAGTGTTTTGTCATCTTCGCATACTTTGGCATCTACAGAAATAGAGCTTTTGGATTATCTTCAAAAATACATTTCAAAATCTAAAGTTGCCTTGTTAGCAGGAAATAGTGTTTATGTTGATAGAGCATTTTTATCTCGTTATATTCCAGGCATTCTAGAATACTTGCATTATAGAATTATTGATGTTTCTACAATAAAGGAACTTGCTAGATGTTGGAATTATGAGGTTTTTCAAAATGCTCCAAAAAAAAAAGCTAATCATAGAGCTATGGATGATATCTTAGGGAGTATAGAAGAACTTAAGTATTACAAAAAAGCATGGCTTACGTGAAACATTTATATAAATTTATGTTTTATAGGAATTTTGAAATAATAATGTTTATTTTAATGCTTTTGAATATTTTGTTTTGAATAAGCTTAAAATAGATTTTTTTGCAATTATTGTTTTTAAAAAATGTTAATTGTTTGGAAAAAAGTTATATTTTATTTGTATGATGTATCAAGTATGATTTAAAAATTAATATTTATTATATTTTAATCTTAATACATTTTAGGGTATATGTTATTTTTAATGGATATATTTAAGATAAATTTTTGTTTTGAATATGATTTTTTTAAATTGTTTTTGGTAAATTATATATAATATTAATCTTATTTGAACAATTGATAATACTATATAAATTTAAAGAAAATAGTATATAAATCTGATGATATTATTTGAATAAACAATTTAATAAAATTAGGAAAGAATTTTTATCAATGCTAAAGCACATGATTATATTTTCTTTATGAAATTACTTGGTTTTTACTTAGTAGAAGCTTATTCTAAAAATCTTTCTAAAGATATAGAATTATTTCAAAAATCTGTTTCGTATTATATATATTGAGCATTTTTATTTCGATACTATAAAATTAATGAAAAATGGCAAGACCTCTTCAGTTGCCTTATGGTTTAACATCATTTAAAGAAGGAAGTCTTCGGGTATTTTCAGTTATTATTTATAAAATTTATTAATTAAAATTTCTAAAGGCTATTGATCAAGAAAAAATTGCTGCTTTTGAGCGTGCAACACCAAAAAAAACTGCATATGATAAGGCAAGAGAAGAAGCTAATGCTAAAAAAAAAGTTGTGAAAACCCTCAATATATACATTATTTTTATATTTTTAGAGAGAAGAAGAAGAAACAAGAGTAATATATGAGGATTTTGTAAGGAGCTTTGATGATGGATCAGGAGAGTATAACATAAAATGTTATAAGAAATTATGAATATAGTTTCTCTAACTTTTAGAAGCTTTGTCTCCGAATGCTACAAGAGGTATTTCGTGTAGTAAACGTCATTTTGCTGAATCATCTTCTAATACGGTATTGTTCTTGAAATTTTTAGAAATTCATTTATAGGTAAAGGAAGCTGGATTAAGTCGAAAGAGGAACTTGGATAACTTTCTTGAAGAAATTAAAAGGTATTATTTTTTCTAAGAATTTTGGAAAGTTATTGATTGAACTAGTAATCAACAAAAGGAAATTCTTAGAATTGCACGCACTACTAATACGGGAATTTTTTCTATAGGTTTATTTATTTATAACTAATAAATGATATAAAATTTAATTTGTTTTTAGAAAAGCGTGAAGATTGTTTTGATTCCTCTCATCCTCGAAGTCTTCACTTGACTTCATTACCTCCCTCAACTACACAACAATCTCTTTCAACATTGCTTTTGCCATATGGAAAAATCACATCTATCAATATTCTCCCTTCAAAGTCTACTGATGATCAATTTAAAAAAGGAGTTTCTGCTTTTGTAACTTTTGAAGATTCTAAAAATGCGGAAAAGGCTAAGAGTAATATTGATGGAACGTATCTTGGAGAGGGTTGGCGAGTAAAAGCTGTATGGGGGAAGGAGCTAAAATCATTTACTTGTAATTATAATTTTTTAAAAAACGATGAAATTTTTATATTATAGATGTTGATAGTCATAAGACTAAACTCCCATTTGATGCTAAGCAAGGAATAATAGGTTTTAATCGAGCACCTCCTCCAGGAGGAGTAACTAATGGGAGATTTAATCCTTTATCTATGCTAAATAGAATTGAAGTGGTTGTTTCAAAACCTAAGGAATTGAAATTATTAAGAAGAATTCATAGAGTAATTGAGAAAGTTGTTGAGTATGGTGTAGAGTTCGAGGTATTTTTTTATTATTTTTATGTGTTATTTAATCTATTAGGCATTTCTTATGAAGAGGGAGTATGATAATCCTGATTATGAGTTTTTGTTCGATTCAACCGTATGATTTATTTTTTATTAGAAATATATCCTGATTTTTATAAGACTTCTGAACATGTTTATTATAGATGGAAATTGTTTTCTTTATTAAATGGTGATTTTCCATACAAATGGTCCAAAGAACCTTTTCAAATGTTTACAAATGAAGCATGGTGGATACCTCCTGAAAATGTTGATGATGTTTGTTCAAGATATTTTTTTTTGTGATTTTTATAGATATAGGGTGATGATGAGTTTACTGATGATGTTTTTGAGAAAAGAAAACAGATGGCATATTTAGGTTCTGTTCCTAGATCTCATTTTGATTGGTTGTTGCGTGAAATTTCTTATCGTCGTGGAAATATTGCTAGAGCTATGTCATTTGCAATAGAGCATGCTAATGCTGCTGATGAGGTTATTTTATTTTTCTTTTTTTGTTATATTTTAAATAATTAAAGATTGTTGAAATTTTAATATCGTCATTAATACAGCCACACGTTCCTATTTCTATTAAAATTGCGAGATTATATTTAGTTAGTGATATTTTGCATAATTCATCTATTGCAATTCCTAATGTTTGGAAATATAGACAATTGTAAGTTAGTAATATTTATTAAATGTTTTTAATATTTTTTAGACTAGAACAAAATTTAGGTGTAGTTTTTAAACATTTTTCTGAAATCTATAAATCATTTGATGGGCGTATTAAAGCAGATAATTTTCGTCGACAGATAGTAAATATTACTAGTGCTTGGGAGAGTTGGATAGTTTTTGGACAGGGCGTTTTAGAAAATTTTTTGGAAATTTTTCTTGGTAAGAAGGAAAAATTAGAGTCGGATGAGGATTTTGGGTCGAATGATTCAAAATTTAATAAATCTTCTGAAATTGTAAAATCTAATTTCGTAAGATCTGGGTGGAGGAGAATTACAGATAATATAACTGATGATTGTTTGAACATTGATTATGGTCTTTCTACTCAGGAAACCGAGAATATTATGAAAAAAGATAATTTGGATTCCCAAAAAAAGGATGATACAAATAAAAATTTAGATGGCGAACCTATGGAGAATTTAGATGGCGAACCTATGGAGAATTTAGACGGCGAACCTATGGAGAATTTAGACGGCGAACCTATGGAGAATTTAGACGGCAAACCTATGGAGAATTTAGACGGCAAACCTATAGAGGATTTAGACGATAGGTCTATAGAGAGTATAAACAAGAAATCTTTTGCGATGAATGACTATAACATTGCAAAAAATGCTTCAGAAGAAAAGTCTTTATTTTCAGAAAATTCACAAATTCGTTCAATAAAATTTGATTTTTCTAAAGGAAAAGGTCAAATTACAACTTTAAAGCCGTTAAATTCATTTAATAATTTTCAAGATAAAAATTTAGATAATTTTTCGTTACTCAAAACACAGAGTTCAGATTCATCAAGGCATTTTCCTAAAAGAATGAAAGCATCTGATGGTTTTGGTGACTATAATTTAAAATAATATTTCTAGATCATAATTTTTTGAAGTATTAATATTTTGAAGTTTTCATAGTAGTATTGTTCTTAGTGTTTTTATGTATTGCTTATCATGGAACTTTATATGGAATAGGGTGTTAATAATATAATTAAAACTATTAATATATTTTGGTTTATGATTTATATTATAATTTTAAAGATTATAATGTTTTCTAGTTGATATTGATATTTTGTTTTATAGTTAAGATACTATGTATTTTTTTGTTTATATTTAATAACGATAATGTTTTAATGAATTTTTAGGTTTTGGATAATGATTTGGTATAGTCTTTGATTTTATTTTTCTCATATAGAATAGAGTTATCATTAATATCTCTATTATTTAGTTTAATTGTCTAAAATATTGGAAATTAAACTGATGCTAAATTTTATTTAAAAGTCTTAAATTTATTTTAATTTCTTTGACGAGTTATATAGTAATATATATATTTGAATTTAATATAATATTTTATTTAAAAAATATTTCGACTTTTAGAGATAATCTTTTTTAAATATAAATATTTAAAAATTTTAATGAAATAGTCATAATTTTATATGAAGTATTATTTGCTTATAAGTACATAGGAAATGTATTAAATAGTGTTTCTAGTATTTTGAAATTGTCTTTATTATTTAAAATTTTCTATTTATAAAAAAATAGAACATAAAAGTCTTTATAATTTAATCTGTAATAAAAAATTATTCTATTTTATTATGTATTTGTGTATATTTATGTTATTTATTTAAAAATTTAATAATCATGAATTATTAAAGTCTTTTTTTCAAGTCTTTGGAAATTGATGAGATCGAAGCTTTAAAAAAAAAGTATCAAGTTCTTTTGAATATAAGAAAATTAGTCTTAGAATTTAAAGAAAGAACATATTTCTCTGATGAGAATATTGGAGTCCCCAAAGAATGTTGGCATTAAAGGTGTGTTGTTTATTTTTTCTAGAAAAGAACAAATAATTGATTATTCAGCCATGGAAATTTACTTTCCTTCACTGGTATAATTGATGTTTATTAGTATTTTTGAATAAATGAAATATAATAATGTTACAGTGTGTATTACAAGAAGATTTGGAAAAGTATGATGAGGTTTCCTCAGGAAAATATACAATTGGTACGTTTAATTTAACATAATACGTTAAATGAATCCTATAAGGTCTTGGTCAAACAATGATGGGTTTTTGTGATGATAGGGAGGACATTTATTCATTATGTTTGACAACAGTTTCGAGACTAATTAAAAATTATAATGTTAATGTTAATGATATTGGAAGACTAGAAGTAGGTACAGAAACTTTAATTGACAAATCTAAATCTGTTAAAACCGTTCTTATGCAATTGTTTTCACCTAACCATGATATTGAGGGTATAGATACTATAAATGCATGTTATGGTGGTACCAATGCTTTTTTTAATGCCGTCAATTGGATTCAATCTGAAAATTGGGATGGTCGAGATGCTATTGTTGTTGCTGGTGATATCGCTCTTTATTCAAAAGGAAATGCACGGCCTACAGGTGGTGCAGGATGTGTTGCTATGATTATTGGAAAAGATGCACCTATTGTTCTAGACTCTGGTAAGCTATATTATACATATTTGCATGGCTAATTTTGATTCTACTGTAGGTCTTAGAGGGACTTATATGGATCATGTTTATGATTTTTATAAGCCTGATTTTACTTCTGAATATCCCATTGTAGAAGGACATTATTCTATTTCATGTTATACTCGAGCTATTGATAATGCTTATAAAACTTATAATAAGAAATATTCTATTAGAAGAAATCTTGGTGATATGAATTGTAATGCAACATGTTCACTACCTATAGACCGTTTTGATTATTGCATTTTTCATTCTCCTACATGCAAATCTGTTCAAAAAGCATATGCCAGGCTAATGTATAATGATTTTATGGAAAATCAGGATCATCCAGAATTTGAAAGTGTAAAACACTTTGCTGACATAGAATATCAATCTAGCTTGGTAGATAAAGATCTCGAGAAGCAATTCATTAATCTTAGTAAAAAACGTTTTGAGTCACGTGTTAAAATCGGTCTTGATGTATCAAAAAATGTTGGTAATATGTATACAGCTAGTTTATACGGCTGCTTGGCAAGTCTTTTAAGTAACGTTTTACCTTCTAAACTTGTATGGTTTATATATTTTTATGTATATGCTATGTATAACTTAATTTAGGTTGGAAAACGTATAGGAGCTTATTCATATGGTTCTGGATTGGCTGCTACTTTTTTTAGTTTTACAATTCGTGATGATATATCTTATATTGTAAAGATTCTCGATTTAAAGGCAAAGTTAGCAAATAGGAAAGTATTGTCTCCTGTAGAATTTGAAAGAGTATATTTTTTATAATTCTAAGATTCATAGTTAAAATTTTAGATGATATCTCTTCGAGAACAAGCATATCTTGCAAAAGACTATATTCCACATGGTGATATTTCTAATATAGCTTTAAATGCATATTATCTTGTTAAAATTGATGAAAAATATCGTAGAGAATATACTGTTTGATTAATTTATTTGAAAAGGATATTTTAGTATATAGATTCATGTTTTTTTAATATTGATTTTTATTTAAAATTTTTTAAATTTTTACTTTTAATCATAATGTGATTGTCAATAAAAATTGTTTAAATTATTTTAAAAATATATTAATGATCTTTTTTCTAACTGCTTTTACCATTTTTTATATAGATTGGTATTTAAAGGAAATGATTTGATACTGATGCAAAAAAATAATATTTGAGATTTTAGAAACTATTAAAGCAACAATTAGATGAGTTTTGGTATTATTTATGAAAATGCTCATTATTTTTTGTTTCTAGTACAAGTAAAGCATTTATGTATTTATGATTATTATTCTTAGTATACTTGTAATAGTTTTTAATATTTTTTATAGTTTGTGAAATATTTATTAAATTTTAATTTTTTTGACATTTTTCTAATGAATATATGTCCATAGTGTTACTTAACCATTGTTCTCCTATATTTTTATGCCTCCTTTTTTCTATTTCTTTTTTTCTTTCGTTTAGCTTTTTTTGTCTTTTATCGTACGCCCATTCTAAATTTTGTTTCATTAGCTCTGTAAGTCTATGCTCTTCTTCAAGAGCTTTTCTTTCTTCTTCTCTTTTTTGTGCGTCTTTCGAAAACTGATAAAATCCGACACCTTTTGTTCTAATTTCTTTTGTTGAATCATAAAATGCTTCTGCTGCTATTTAATATTAAATACATATATAGAGATAGATAAATGCTGTTTATTACATTCATCAGGCTCTTCAAGAATTTTTTGGACTAGCTCTTCATCTGGATTAAACGGTTGGATAAAGTCTCCATAAATAATATTTTTAGGAATTTCTTCTTCCGGTGTAATTGCCCTAGGTAAATCCACTTTACGTACTTTCCTTGTCCTTCCAAATTCATCAATATATTCGACCCATGGATTGTTTTCTTCATCTACTTCACTTTCTGAGGATGAACTTGTTTCAAGTTCCTGATGCTCTGCCCATTTTCTATCAAAATCCACAAGTAAATTCTCTGCCATTACACCTTTTATGCTCATATCATGAGCACCTCTTTTCATCATTTGATATTGAATAGCTTTTCTCTTCAAAGCCGTTCTTGATGCTTTAATTTCATGTTCCAAAATATTCTCTTGTTCATATCTATCTTTTGCTGCGCGATATTCTATACCTATATTTGATTTTGTCAATAACGTTTTCTAGCTAATATAAGTCTTTGTTTTTGTTTTTTCTTGTTTTTTTCATGCCTTTTTTTCATTAGAGCTGCTGGGTTTATCTAGTTTCTCTAATTTTTCTCGTTCAAATTTATCTCTAACACGAGAAAGTTCTGCAAGAAGACCTATAGATGATGCTGAGGATACTGCTATTGTTCCATTGTTTTTTCCAGAAAGTGTCATAGAATTCTTTTAAAAAAAATTAGTTTTTAAAAGTCTAGATTAAATTCAATTTTTTGTAAAAAAATATAATTTGTTGAATCATCTTACAATAAGTTTTGATAAAATATGACATTTAAAAAAAAAGCAGTCTTTAATACAAGAATTTTTAAATATTAGTGAAATAAATCAATTTAAAAATTAATTTTTTATGAAAATTTTTTTTAAAATTTTGAAATACGTATATAAATTTCAATATCTTTCGTTCTAAAAATATTGATAAATGATAGAAAAAAATAACATTAAAGCATAAGAGAAATATAATATATATAATAATTTTATTGTGTAACAAAAAACAAAGATATATTATGATTTGAATAATAGATGAATTTGTTAAGGTTTTTTTCTTAGATATTTTTTGAAAGATATTATAGAGGTTATTTAGCAAAAGTGACTTATCTAAATGTTTATAAAAAATTAATATAGGCAATATATTTATGAATTTGTAGATATTGTATTTTTATAAATTGTAAATTTAAAGTAAAATTATAAAAAAATAAGATAATATTAGTTAATTTTGATGGAAATTAAATAAATTTAAGCTTTTATATCTTTGATATAAGCGCAGAATTGAAAAATATATATAATTTGATGTAAAATATATTAAAAATGGATGATTAATATTTTGTCTTTTTAAATACTTAGATAAAAAATGTATTTCTATAAATAGAAAGTTCAGGATATAATTTAATTTTATAAGAATTAATAATACTTAACAGTTTTGAATATACTGCAATTTCTAAATAGATTGAATTCAATAAAATGCATCTAGTTAAATTAAGAGGATTTAATTTAATGAAGATAACCTATTTGGTATTATGCTTTATAAACAACATAAGAATATTTAATAGAAAAAAATTAATTCCTATTTTGCGTTTTAAAGAAAGAAGTAATTTTATTCATTTGTTTTGTATCAATTTTTTTCTGTATTTTAGTATTATTACTTTCAGAACTTCTCTTATTTGTATTTTTTTCTTTAGAAACTGTATCTTTTTTTAAATAGAAATCAGCTGTAAAGTGATTGGTGTTTTGTATAAGAAAAGTACTAGCTCGATGAGTTTGTAACTTTTGTAAATATAAAGATAAAGGAGTAAAACTATATATTTCAGCAAGTAAGTTAGAATATAAATGAATAAAATGTACTCTTCTGATTGAAGAAGAAGATTTGCATATTTAACGGGTAAATAGTTATTAATTAACTGCATTGCTGCCTTTATACGTGCTAATTGGATGATTTTTTCCAGTTCACTAGTTTTTTTTTCGTCATTTAGTTCTCTTTCTTGAATATTATCCGTAAAGTTTTTAATTATAGCTTCAAATTCAATACTTTTGGGCAAATGAGATGCAACCTTTTTAACTTTAGTTCTCATAATTTTCAGTAAAAGAGATTCGTCAAAACGAAAAAATGATGGAGATGAATCAAGTTCATGACAAATAGAACGAATAGCGTATTTCATTTGAGGACCTAAAGATGAAATAAGGATAGGAAAGTGGTATTCTGAAAAAAGATCTAAAATATCATCCATAAGAAGATATTTTCCTAAATACTCTGATTTCTAGAAGGTATTAGTTATAAGGGAATACGTGTTTTTTTTTCAATTAATTCCCTTATATGTCTTTTCAAGAACGGGGATTGCAAAAAATACAAGATCGAACGGTGTTGCAAGGTAAATAGTACCATCTATTTTTGAATAAACTTAAATGAGCCGTTTAATATATAAAGAATTACCTTTTACAATATTGTTATTAATAAACCAGCTTCCTTTTTTGTAAGAATCGTTGACTTTAATTAATTGTAAAAGTTGTGGTTTTTGAATAAGATAGCGAACAGGTATTTGTGTTTTAGGATGTGGAAGTGCAATTATCTGTTCTTCTGTTATTTCCCCGTTTAAAAAATGTTTAGGCTTAATAATTATTTTTGTCATATGTTCAAAAAGTTTCAATTTTCACGGGGTTATCGTTAAGAATTTATTTGAAACGTTATCGTGTTTTTATTAAAAGTAAAATTTAAGGCATTGATATCAATTAAAAATATTTTTTGTTATTCAGTTCTATATTTTTGTCTTATTTCGTATGTTGTTTTAAATTTTGTGTTTTGAAATCTGATGACTGATTTTTCTTGCTCATTATTGAAACATAAAACAAAACAAAGCGACAATAGAAAAAGGTTTCAATCTCAATTGAAAAATGCACAAGACTCTCCCTCTTTTGAAGAAACGAAGAATAAGCGAAAACGACCAAACGATGTTTATGTCCAAGTCTCAAAAAGCCCAAGTCCAGGTATAAATGTTTTGATTTGTTAATGTTTGATTAATACAAGTAGTAAAATCACTAACATTGTCTACTAAGGATGTCCAGTCTTTCAATGAAGGTATTTTTCTTTGGTTGTTTTTTTTGTTTGAAAATGTTTAGGAAAATTGGATTATAATATATCTTTAAAAAAAACTGTGGATTCGTCTGTTAAACTTTTTAAAACATTTTCAGAAAAGCTTTCTGATCTTAGATCAAAGAAGGAAACGAATGGAAATATAATAGGTATACAAAAAAGGGAACTTTCCAAAGGCTTTGTAACATTAAATGAAAAAAATAAATTGATAGACCCAGAAATCTTTTCTGATTCTCAAAGTAAAGAAAATGCGCAATTATTTTCTTCAGAAGATCCTTATGATCCATATTCAATGCTTTATCTTTCAAAAAGGAATATTTCTTATGATGAATTAAGACTCTATTTTAAAGGAAAGAAGATTTTTTTATTACCTGAATTATTAAAGACAGTAACGGCACCGACTTATGAGTTTCCTGATCATGACAATGATTATATTGTAATTGGTATTATTGCGTATAAGTCGATACCAAAATATATTCAAAATGGAAAAAAAAATACGAATATAAAGTCAAGATATTGTGTATTAACGTTGACTAATTTAAAGTGGGAAATAAATCTTTTTTTATTTGATGGTGCATTTGAACGGTATTGGAAGATTCAGGTTGGATATATTATAGCAATTTTGAATCCGGGAATTATGAAACCTAAAAAGGCGTGTTTTAAAAATGAATTATTGCATTAAATAATTTATTATTAGATAGATTCTGGAGATTTTAGTTTAGTTTTATCTCATGAATATGATTCATTATTGGAACTTGGTTTATCACGGGATTTGGGGTTTTGTAATGCTTTAAGACGAGATGGAAAACAGTGTACATCATGGATAGATAGACGTCATTCAGAAGTTTGTGGATTTCATGTTGACCAAGGAATGCATAAGATTAGAAATGCGCGAATGGAAGTTGCTACTGGTACACGGCTTTATTCTCCAAAAAAAAATAAATATATATCAAGTAAAGTAGGTTATAGTAAGGGTCCTAAATCTGCAGAAGGACTTTTGGCTGAACATACTGGTTGGGTTCATGATCCATGGAACGGAAATGTGTTTATGATATCTAATTTTCTTTATGGTTATAAACGCGATGCTTTAGATGCTAAAATGGCTGAAAGAATGCGATCCCAACGCCAGAAACAAATGCGAGAATCTAATATGGTTTCTCGGCTTCTTGCTTATGAACAAGTTTCTCGAAATGTTGCTTCTGATTCTTTAAAAATTCATACGAAATTAGCGTATCCTATTTCTTCTGTTTCTTTAGAGAATTCATCTAAATTGTATCCCGAACCTTTTTCCACGCAATCTGTTAAACGAATTGGTTTTAATCCATACAGACATTTGGCTTCTATGTCCAATTCATCTATTTCACCTATTACATGTTCATTGTTATCCGATATATGTTGTAATTCTGATTCTGACCTTGAGATCATTTAATATAATTTGTATGAATTTGTTTAAATTTTTATTTATATTGATTTTTTATTATTGAATAATTTGAGTTGGCTATTTATATTAGATTTGCAAAAATTGTAATTGAAATATAAAGATATTGGCTAATATTCGATGTTATATAAGCGTTTTATAACATTTGATTATAAGTTTATTATAAGTCAGTTTATCTTCAGATAAGCTTTATAGGTTTCTCTATTTTGGGACTATTTGTTATTGTACTTAGGTTTTTTATGCTTCATCAATCTGAAGCTTGAAAAGTATAGTTAATATTGCTTTTTGGATATGTAATTTTTAATATTATATATAGAGTAAAAGGAAAATATGATTAATTAGTTGATCAAAAACTATTTAAATGTCTTATATTAGTAATTTTCCCTAATAAATTATCAATAATAAATTGATAACATATTCATGTTATCGCAGCGTTAAAATAGATAGTAAATCGACTAATTAGAATTTAGTCTCTCCTTTAATTAAATTAATAAATCTTATCTATCATTAGTGTTAGGGTTTACCTAATATGTGTCCTGTATGATGTGTTCCTGATGTTTGCTTTCTTAATATAGCTGTGGGAAATTACTACTTCCACTTAGGAACGTATCTTTATTATCATTCTTAACGTTGGTAAGATTTTTGGTCGATCATGATAAACAGCTTCAGGTATTTAAATAAAGATTTTATTAAGAGAAAGAACCTGAAAGAGAGAAGTTGTGATTGACCGCATATAATCATATACAGTTGAAATTTGTATACTAACTTAATTAGAGAATTTTGAGGCGTTTTGGTTAAGGTAAATGCGTGTATAAGCGTAAAAAATGTGCAAGAAATTGATTTTTATGCATATTAGACGCGCATACATATATAGGAAATCTAAAGAATATGTATCTAACGTTGAATAGATGCCAAAAGACGCGAAATCAAGAGGAATTAAAAAAGTTTCAGGGAAGCGGGCGAAAAAAGGTTTTTCCATGTGTTGAAAAGGCTATGATTTATATGTTTTAGATCCAGATGCTCCTAAGAGAGGGTTATCGGCTTATATGTTTTTCGCACAAGAACATAGGGAATTGGTAAAAACAGAGAATCCGGATGCAACATTCGGTAAGAATTTGTTTATATTTTTTAGGGGGGTTAGTAGACGGGAATATAGGTCAAATTGGCAAAATTCTTGGTGAAAGATGGAAGAATTTGTCTTCTAAAGACAAACAGGTAATATTGTGAGTTTTATGTAGTTTTTTTAATGTGTATATATAGCCATACGAAAATAGAGCTAGAAAAGATAAGGAACGATTTGAAGATGAAAAATCTCGATGGCGTAATACTCATGTGTCATGTACGACACATGATGATGAATAATTGTGTTTTATATTAGCAATATGATTGTTTTTTATTTGATGAATGGCATGTTCGTAAGATATAAATATATATATATATATCATTACTATATTGGATAATTTTTCGGTTTCTATTACTGCTTGTTTTGTATTATCTTTTATTGCTTAATTGTTTACTTTTATCGAGTTTTTTCTATATTGGGTATTTCTAGGCTATGTAACTATTTAAGAGTTGATGGCATATAGTATTCCCTAGAATATAAGAAAAGTATTATGTAGTCTTTAGTCCATTTTATTTATTGTTTGCTTATTTTTGAATACAATGATTGTTTTAATTACCTTGAAAAATTATAGATTAAAATATTAATATTTTGAACAATGTTGTGTCATTTTTGATTGGTGATATTTTATGCTTAATGTTTAGGATATATTATTATGTATCTTTTTAATAAAATATTAAATTAATATACTGATTGAGATTTTACGTATCGTTTGAAAATGTTTAAAGAGTATTGTTATTTCTTTCGTTCATTATAAATACGTATTAATTTTTAACAAATAATTGTTTTGTTCATTTTTGGAATTAAAAGAGGATATGAATATTACTTTTTGATATAGTTTAATTTTAAAGTGTTATTTGATGTAATTGTTTTGAAAAAAAGAGGGAAATATTATATTTTTGAAATATTTTAAATTATTCCACTATAAAATCTCTATTTATGATATTTATATCATATAAATATTATTTTAAACTAATTTTAAAGATATTTATTTTATAAGTTGTTTGAGTACTATATGAAAAAAGACTTGTGATAATATATATGTTAATGATATCTTTTATATGTTATTTTGTAGAAAAAAATAAAAAATATGATACTCTTGTTTTATTTTTGTATTTGTAATTTCCTTGTAGATCATTCAGGATATGTGTCATTATTGTATTAATAAAATTAATATAGATATAAATAGTCCTGAAAAAATATATTTAGTTGTTAAAAAAGTATTAAAAAGTCGATATTTTACAATTAATAAAAGCTTAAACATTTTTTAAAAAAAAGTAAGATGAAGTTAAATATATTAAATTATAATTATCCGTTTTTTATGTTTTTTTTCTAAAAAAATTATAAATCACTCGTTTAAATATTCTTAAAGATCTAATGCTTCGAATTAAAATAAAGTTCTCTATTTAAAAGTTGCTTTTTTAAATTATAAATATATGTTTTTTAATGTATTTTAAGAATTGCTAATAAATAGATATTGATAATTCAATGAACTTATAAATTTTTTTATTATGGAATTTTTAGAATTCTAGTAAAATTATATATGTCTTGTTAATTATATTTTTATGTTGTTTTAAATCTAATGATTATTAGAAACACATCCTTATATGTTATGTAATTTTAAGATATTATGAAAAAATTAGCGTCCTTATTTTTTTGTATAATTTAAAATGCGAAGTACATGTTTATTAATTTTTTATTATTATTTTCTTTTTATTAAAAAAATATATTGGATTTTTTTTGGAATTGTTTTAAAAAAGTTACAAAATTTTGTTTTTTTAATAATATTTTTTAAAGAATGATTTTTGTTTTAGTAATTTTTTAAAGTCATAAATTTTATGTTTTAATTTATTGAGAAATTATTTTAATATTTTGATTCAAAAAAATGATTACTAGTAAGAATAATTAAGAATTAAGCAATAATCTATTTAATAATTAATTAGAAGAATTTTAAATATATTTTTTAAAAGGATTTGATAGAAATGCTTAAAATATATTTAGACATTACTTTAAGTAACTTTATTGAAGAGATGTTTAAATATGAATATCTATGTATTTATTATGATTAAATAAGAGTTTTAGAATTTTTTATAGGATCGAGTATATTTTAAAATTATTTATGTTAAATTTTGTATTTTACTTTATATTTATTTTACTGATATTTTAAATTCAAAGACATTTTCATGCTTTTGAAAGCCTAAATTGCTTTTATTATCTGAGATTTTTAAGTAATATATATGATTTTTTGATATTAAATATATTTATAGGATTTTTTAGTTTAAAGGCATTTATAAACTTTAACTTCTATTATTAATATTTTAAATATAATTATAATAGCTTAGAATTTATTTAAAAAAGTTTCTGAGAGTTTAATGATTTTTTATGCATTAAATCATTTTTTATTTTTCTAGATAAGTGGACATGTTATAATTTTTATAAATAAGAAAATATTATATTTAAAGATTATAAGATAAAAATAATGTTAAAAGAATCTTAAAAGCTTAATTCCATTTAATTGATGTTATTTGCTTTGAAAAAATAAAATTCGAAATGCATGTACGTTTATTTTTTTATATTTTTTTGTAAAGAATTATTTAATAAAATATAAATTAAAGCTTATTTAATTAGAAAATGTGTTTATGAAATAAGAATATACTTGAGGTATAAGTATTTCTACCCAGCTACTTTGAAAAAATATTATTGTACTCTAAAATCTGTTAATGTTTGGTAACTTTAGTTTTAAAAAAATTACTGCAAATACTGCAATAGATAGTATAATAGTTTGGTTTTCTGTTGTTTTAATTTTTTCTATAGCACTTTGAATGACGTTTTTATTTTTTGTTGAAAAAATTTTATATTTTTTGTTTGGCATTTTTATTTAGATTTTTAAACTGCTTTAAGTTCTTGATATTTTGAAATTATATAAAAAATTAGTATATTTTGATATTTTTTATTAGATAAATAACGTAGGAGTTGTCTATATAAAAATAATATATATGAATAGATTACATATTACTAAATGTTATTTTTATAATTTTTGTATAATTATTTGATTTGAATGTAATTTTTTATAAATGTGGAATTTAATAAAGATGAAATATTCAGAATTATAAAAAAATAGAGACATATTAGATTTTTTTTATTTGAGCATAATATTTAATTTTTTAGATTAAGTAAAATAAATTTTGTATTTTTTTTTTTTGAATTATTTTTTATGAAGATTTGTATTTAATATATTATGACTTTAAGAAATTATTTAGACTTTATTAAGAATGGATTTTATAGAACAAAATACATTCATGAAACAAAGATAATTTTTTTAACAGAGGCTATAAAAATAATTATTTGTTCTCAAAATTCGGATTTGAATGTAATATTTTTTTTAATGAATTCTTATGTCTGTTTTAAAGTTTTTTTTCTGAATTTTGCTTACATTAATTAATATTATAATTATTTTATATTTCTAATTGAGAATTTCCTTATGTATAATGGTCTATATAATTTTGATTTTGTAATTTTACTTCAGATTAATAAATATTTTTTCTTTTATTCGAAGTGTTTTAGATTTTTTATTATTTTTTATAGATCTATTATTTTATAGATATTTTAGATAGTAATAATTATAAATTTTTTATTGGATAAAAAACATCCTTATTTTTATGAGAATCAAAGTCTTATTTTTTTGATAGTAAACGATTTTTAAATTTATGAAATTTTTATGGTAGGATTAAATAAAGAATTCTTATAGCTAAATAAAAAAACATAAATTTTAAGAATATATTTCTATGGAATTTTAAAGCTTAAGGTATTTTAAAATTTATTTGCTAAAGAAAAATCAATATATGAATGTATAATAAATTTTGTTCTGCTAGCAAATTTGGAATAATTTTAACATACAAGAAATAAATAAAATGATAAATATGATTATTTAATTTTGATTTGTTTAAGTATATATATTGAATTTATAATTTTTATATTGTATTAATTAGGTTAATTTTTATACATTAAATTGTTTTAAAAAAATATATATTGTATGATTTGATCATTCTTTTTAAGAAAACTTTGAAATAATATAATCCTTAAGTCATCGTCTAAATTAGGATTTTCTTCAGGATTACTATTTTTGTTTTTTAATATTCTGATGATCATTATTTTTCAATTCATCTAATTTTTTTTTTAGATACAACATTATCTTGATCTTTAGATGTATTCAAAATAAAAGAATCTTCGTTTTTTCGTTTAATTCCTTTACTTTGATCATGATATAATTCTTTTGTTTGATCAGAAGTCTTAGGAAAGTTATTTTGTAATGGTATTTTCGTAATATCTGATTGTAAAGTTGGATATAATCCTTGCATTGGAATAGATTCATATAGATTAGTCATAATTCTACATACATCTTTATAAAGTTTAGTATATTTCATAAAATTGTTTTTCTTTTGCCTTTTATTTCATTAATATCTACATCTATAACTTCCCACCATGATCTATCTCCTATTGAATTAATTACTGTTGATGTATGTTTAGTTCCAAAATAAAATGCTGCTGCTGCAATAGTATGAGGTTTATAGATTATTGGAATAGTAGTTCTAATGCTAGAATTATATGAGATTTAGGTTGAATTTCTTCATAGAATTATGATTTACCTATCATTTACAAAAGCCCATGCAGATTTCGCTGTATCTTGTTTACTACCAAAATGTTTTATATATTTTAAAAGATCTTTATAAGGATGATCAATTGTTAAATCGAAACATAAAGCTTCCAATAGTATTTCTTCATTATATATAATCACATCTCTCCATCTCCAATATTCTTTAGACTGCTCATCAATTATAAGATCTGGATTTTTTTGTCCAACTTTTGCGCATGCAATAATTATATTCCTTAATTTCCTGCATGATTCTTCTACTTTTGTAGCTAAAAGAATGCATGTTGCAGCAATTTCCTATTTTTGTTAATTTATATAAAAAAAGTTTATGTTAACATAATAGTGATATTTAGCTAGTGAAAAACGCATATAAAAACGATGAAGAAAAACTGCTGCTGTAGAAAGTGTAAGTTGAGGTCTAATTAATTAGAATTTTGCTTTTTTAAAAAAATTATATTTACAGTTTTAATTTAGAGCCTACTTGTATAATGAAATTAACGCCTTTACCTCTATCTATTTGTTCTTTTTCTAAACTCCAGCCGTCATTTACAGATGGTGTATATTTGAAATCTTCTTTATCGAAATACCATTTTCCTTTATGGGAGGAATATCCCATGTTTAAATAATATTTAAATAATTTTTTGTTATAATATTTTAATTTTTCTAGTGTTTTTGATAGATAAAATCTTTTTGCTAAAATATAAAATTTAAATAATAAATCATATAAGAAATATACAATAATACTATTTTCTTTCTAAAATTATAATAAACCATCTTGTATTTTGAAATCATATAAATTAAAAAATATTAGTAAATTTACATTTTTTTTAAATTTCGTTGTTATAGTTTAAAAAATTATAGTGTATTTATTGTTTTAAAATCGTTAAGAAGGACTTGAACTTTCTTGCACATAGATTTTTCCCCTTCGCGAAGCCATACACGAGGATCAAAAAACTTTTTATTTGGCTATAATTTTATTAAAATGTTTTCAAATATAAATTATATTACTTTATTTAATCCTTCCGGATTTCCGACTGGAGACATTAAATATTCTTTTTTAGATAAAATATAGTTGCGAACGCCTTCTAAATAAAAATATTGAGTATCCGTATCAATATTTATCTACATTAGAAATTGGTAATAGTTCAGAAATAGATAATATTATACTTTAACCACACCGTTTTCAATAGCAATGTGATATTCTTCAAGTGAAGATCCAGATCCTCCATGAAATACAAAAAATATAGGCTTCTTGCCACAGTTAAGTTTTTGTTCGGCATAATCTTGATGTGCTTTTAAAAGTTCTGGACGAAGAAATACTCCTAATTTTTATTAAAAAATATCTATATATTGAAAAATAATAACCTCCTGGAGCATATACACCATGAACATTTCCAAAGGCTGCTGCAATAGAAAAATAAGGTGAAATGGCTGATAGAGCAGAATAAATATCAAAAACATCTTCAGATTGTGTATATAGTCTATTGTATTTAAAAATATAAAAAATTATTATTAGTGTATTACTTAACATTGCTAACTTCTTCATTATTAACTCCATCTTCTTCACCTCCTGTAATACCCTTAATAAATAATCAGTATAAAATTATAGAAAAATATGAAAAAATTACAATTTCTACTTCGAGCCATTGTTTCATTGGTGCTACACGTTGAAGATAATGTTTTGTAAGTTCAATATTATGTTCTTTAGATTCTTCAGATAAATCGATCATATGTGAACTATAAGTATATATATATTAATACATATTCATTTAAAAACATTTTTAGGATGTACCTGAAGAGAGGTTGTTTATGAATTTCGAAATATTTCTCATCTGCATCGATCATACCATCTAGCCATGGTAGAAGTTTTTTAGAACAATGATCAGTATGCAAAACTACTGGAATATTGTAAGAAGGTGCAATAGTTCTTACAAAATAAGCAGCAGAAATAGCACCGGCAATGGATGCTTGCTGTTTATCGTTGTTAAGACTTTTTCCCGCCTATAATATTAAAATGTTTTATAATTCATACATTACTTACAAAATAAGCAGCACCTCCTTGTGATATTTGAATAATAATAGGCGAATTGCTACTTTTTGCTGCCTCTAAAACAGCAACAATGGTTGATGATGATGTGCAATTCTTTAAATTTGTCAAATTATATTCTCATAAAATACCATTTGAGCTTACAACCGCTGGAATAGCAAATTGATTTTCCTGTAAAATTCATTGTTAGTCTTTATATTTTTACTTTTTGTAATTTAAATACTTTTGCATATTTAAAAAGTTTAAGTACATCATCGCCAGTAATAACTCCGCTTGGAACGATACTAGATATTCCCATAGTCTATTTCTATGCTTTTTGTTTATGTTTTATATCAATTTTTGGTTTAATTGCTTTAAGTCTTGAATGTTACCTTTATTTCGAAAATCTTTAATTCGAAAAATTTATACCTTAAAAATAGTATTTATTGTTTTATAATTTTAAACAATAAATTTTTAAAATTCAAGTTTTCAATATATATTTATTTATTTATACTTAATGAATATTATGAATTGTATTAATATATATTGTTATAAAAATATTTAAATTTTTAGAATCATATGTAGAAATAGTTATTAATAGAATAAATATTAATGTTTTTAGTACAACTTTATTAAATTTTAGTTGTATTATATTATATGTTTAAAATTAATTGTTATCTTTATTGATTTAGATTTTTTTCTATATTGTTAGAATAAATATTTATGATATTTTAAAAATTATACATTCGTTTCCTTGAAAAAAGTTGATACTTTTTATATCATATGAAATTTTTTAGATTTTTATATAATACTATTAATTAATTATGAAAATTCGATGTATTTTATATGTTTTTATAAAACATTTTATATATTAAAATTCTACAAGATATAATTATTTAAGATTTTTCATTATAAGTTGAGCTTTTTTGTAAATTTTAACATATAATTATTTTATTTAATTTTTAATTTTATATAAAAGATTAAATTTATTTTTAGATATAGCTTTAATGTGTTTTCTTAATTGATTACAATAATTTTATAATGAATTACAAATGCTTTATATTTTTAAACATCTTTCAAAGTATTAGATAAAAATACGATAATTATGTTTATGTAAAACTTGACTGAAATTGAAAAAAAACTTTTATACATTTATTTCTAAAGTTATATAATATATTTAAAGTTTTCTCCTTTTTAAAAAAACCTAGTAACCAATTGTTTTCAATACATATGTATATATAGAAATATAAAATATTCATGTTTATATTTTAAATAAATATATCTTCTATTGATTATCTATTTACACATTTTTTATATTTTTTTAAAACGAGTTAAAATGTACATTTGCATATCTAGTTAATATTAAAAAAATTAAAAGATATTATTTAATAAACGATATATTAAAAGTTATTTTTAATATTTATACATAGTAATTATAATATAATAATTTTTAATCATATACATATATATTTTTGATCTTTTACAATAAAAATTTAAATTTTTGTAAATAAAAATTAAATCGATCTAGATGTTTGATGTGTTATTATATGACTGAAAAAGAAATAATAGAAATAAGATTATCTAGAATAGAAAATATTGTTTATGGTTCGAATAAAATAACTTCAGATGAGTTTATTTCATTAAATATACCTTGTTATGTAGATTTAATTGAGACAAAAGTTAATAATTTAGTAAAAGAATCGGAAGTTTTAAAAAAAATGATGAATTTTCGTATGTATATATTTTAATTTATCTAATATTCATACTTTTATAGTTAATAGTTACTCTTTTCTTTTAGAAGAAAAGGTTTTTTCTTTATTTAAATCATCTAATACTATTCAAAGTGAAAAAATTCGATTAATTTTTTTAAATTTACATCTATATAATAATGTTTTGTCTCAAATGCTTTCTATAAAAGAATTGTCTATATCAGATTCAAATATATGTTCTCAAGCTGCTTCTAAGATTCCACAGTTTCATATAATGTTAATGGCTATTAAATCTTTTGAAATTCAATTGAATCATCTATCAAAAAGAATAGCAAAAATCTTGGAGCTTTGGTATGAAATAGGTATAAATGCTGTTAATGACTGTTTTCTGGAATGGGATGAAAGAATTAATGATCTTAATTTAAGACTAAAAAAGCAAATGTCATAAATTTATAAATAATAAAAAATTGATGTTAGAATAAAATAATTAGATGTTGGATATAACTACATTCTAAATTATCTATTGTTCAAAATGCTATTAAAAACATATAACATTTGAGATTTGTAGACTTATTAGGATACATAAATTATAAAATATGATAGTAAAAATTAATGTTACATTTAATTTTTTTATTTATATGGTTTTGAAGTGTTGATGAAAAATAGTTTTATTTTTCAATTATATATAAATAAATATTAGAATTTTATCAGAAAATTACTTATAATATTTGTTTTTAAAATTTTATCTTTTAATATTGCCTACAAAGAAATGTAAGAAATTAGTATGTTGATGGAGTTATAATTTAATAATTTCTTCTATGTATTCGAACTTAAAAACATAGCTAATCTATTGATTACTTAAATTTCATTAGCATTAGATTTATCATATCTGTCAAAAATCATCGTTTATATAATAATAATGCACGTATATAAATAAAAGCTCTTCATTTCAAATATTAACCATTATTTGATAAAATAATTGACGTATTTATTTTAGATTCATAAAAATTAAAAAAATTGCCTGATTGTAACTGCATTTATTCAGGAATGAAATAAAAGTTGCCATATTAATGGATAATTTTAGAGTTTCTGAAATTATTTAATGAAACTACTTTTGGAGTAGACTCAGATACTTGATCTTGAAATAAATATTTGTAGGAGGTATTACGAAAATTTTCCGAGTCTGATATAAATTCTTTATGAAACTCATTAAGTTCTTTTTTTCAGCAATAGCTAATTCACAAGAAACACCTTTTGCTAAAGGAATATATTGTGGTATAAGTGAGAAGCTAGCGAAACTCGCTATCAGTGTTATCTTTTTTGTGATAAATAGAATATGGTGGATAATTTAATGATGTTTCTGTTTTTTGGATATTATAACCTTTTAAATTGCAAATATGTTGATTTCTTTTCCAAAAAGGGAAAGGTGAATGAAGTATATCTTGAGAAGAAAGTAAATGATTTTCTTTCTCTATAAGATAATATTTCATTAGTTCATCTGGACCAATACCTGAAATATAGAAGAAAAATGCGTGACTTTTAAAGTCATAATATATAGATTTATCTGGCGGATTGGAAAAATAAAGCAATTCAAGACCATAAGTATTCAATGAGAAATAATTTATATAATCCGAGTATGGTTGATATTGAAATTTTTGAATATTATAATTATTTTTATGATAATGTGTCATTTTTCAGATGTAGTGCATTACTTGGATAACTAGATTTCGAAATCTAACAATATACGGGAGGAGAATATGTATTAATTTTATAAATGTTTTTCTTATGAGTAAAAATATAATCAGCATAAATTTCTTTAAGATCACAATGACTTGCTATAAGATGAAATTCTCTACAGAATTCAATTTGAAGACCTTTCATAGTTGTATCATTTGCAGTATTTCCAAGATTTCTTTTCGTGTTGAAAGGTTCTTCTACGCACAATCGATTATTTTGAGTTAAATGTCATCAATTTGCTGATTTTGAAAGATAACGATCATGTCTAACAGATATAAAGTAATGATCATAATTGAATTCATAAGCATATCTTCAAAAAAAATATAAACAATAAACCTCCGCTTTCTGTATTTTTTTCACCAAAGCCTTTAAATGTGTCTATATCATCAAAAAAACTAACATCTATACCTTCAATTAGAGTGCTTTCATTTTGTTCACGAGGAAGCTGATGGAGAGATGGTAAAATAGGTGACTTCCTCATTTGTAAAAAATTGATTATCATACATATCCAAGTGTACAAAGACAATATACATCCGCGAGCTGCTTATATAAATAAAAATTAAATTCATAAGAATCTCATACCGGTGTCATTTATAATTTTTTTTTTGGTCCAATATTTAATAATCATGGGTAATGGTCTTACACGAGGATCTATTTCAACATATATTTTAATCATTCGAGTATTTTCAAGAGCTAAAGTGTTATTGATATTCATATCACAAGCAACAGAATTTATATATTTATAATATAATTAAATAATATATACGTATTAACTCACAGTTTAGGATCCCATATTTTTACTATTGGAACTTTGGCACGAGATACGCATATAACTCTTTCCATGCCATTTAATAAGATAAATATAACTAATTAAATAATAGAAAAATGAATATATACAATTAGCAAGTTCTTTTTCTATTGTTATACAAACATCCACTAATAAAAATAAGAAAATGCAATCAATTACAGAGAAAATGCTTACTATCAGATTCGCTAGTATAGGGCTTATTTACTGTAGAACCGAATGCTTGTACAGTTATTTTTTTGTTGGACAACTTTTTTTGAAGAATAGTAGTTAATTTTTTTAGAAATTTTGTCCAGCGATTATTATTTTTAGATGGCAAAAGAGTCTTTTAAAGACTAGCGTACGCTAAGGAACAATGAAAAAGTGTTTACTTCGTAGAGTTGCAACATATCGCTAGATACTAGATCTTCATTTTTTGTTGAAAGGTTTGACCTAGCCTTCCATTTGAATATGTCTATTGTTCTATATATACAAGCGGAATATGGAATTTGCTGCTTTGAGTTCACATATGCTGTTTTATATGGACATTGATGATATGTAATTAGTGGTATTTTTGAAGGTATAGTAGTTAGAGATTCTGATAATGATGAACAAGGTAAAAATGTCCCTAATGAAAATATATTCACAAACTCTCTTATTCGACTGTTCAGGTATTGATGGTAATGAATGAGATATAGAATTACGATAAATTTTGCTGTTTAATTGACATTATGAATTGTGATGATTTTAGATATTTAGAATAGTCTTTTTTCGGTCACTTCGTAACAAACTTGAGGCATTCTTTCGTAGTTTCCACTTTAATATTATATTTTTGAAGTTTCTAAAATAAGACGTGTTATTCTTCTATCTTCTAATACTTTTTAATTATTTTCTCACCTTTTTTTAGAAATATAACGCTTTTTGACAAAAGACAATGATTTACTAGTAAATTATGTTACTCTTACAACTGAATGATCAATTTTTTTTAGTTTATCTTTGAAAAATATACTCATTTTTACTTTTTGTTTTTTTTTTCTAATTTTTAACTTAATTTTGCTTAAATCTCTTTTTGTGTATAATATCATATTTGTTTAAATTGTAATAATAATAATAATAACATGTTTTTATTCCTCTACTTTTTTTATTTAATTTTTTTATATAATAATAATGTAACTTGGATAATTTGATTAATGCTTTTACAAATGTTCCATATGCGTTTTATAATATTAGGGCTAAATATAATATTGTGGGATCATTCTAAAGATCATTTAGGGTACATAAAAATAAGGCCAAGAAAAATACTAAACATCTTTTATATTCGGTTTAAATTTTATTTTATTGATTTTTAGGTTTGAAATTGTTTAAAAATACATATTTAACAAGTTATGATAAATAATGCATTTAAATAAAAAGTTATAATACATTTAAACCATAAAATATTTTTAATCATTACAAATGTCATAAACTAATATATATCTATTGAATCTTTATAAATAATTTAAGAAAATATTTATGAATATTCAACGTATGATAAATATTTTATTCTTAAATAAAACTATAAATAATCTAAATTGGTTTTTTTTCATTATCATTTGATTAATTTATGATGTTAACAAATTTTATAAAAACGATATTTATAACGATATATTTAAATATTATAAATATTGATATAATAAATATTCATTTTTACTGAAATATTTAAATAATTGTATATGTTTAATATCATTAATATTGTAATTTATGTAAAATATTAGATATATGCTAAGTATATACTTTGTTATGTTTTTTTCTTATTTTACATGTGAAATTATACAAAATATTTCTAATTAAATATTATTTTTTTATTAATAATAATTAATAGTAATATGATGTAATATAACTGGTATTTAATTGTTTTATAAAAACATAGATATATATAATGATTTTAGATTTTTTGATGGTTTAATAATAATAATAATAATAAATATGAATGTATAATTTATATAATAATGTTATATGTACTCTTTTTATACCATTTTGTATTTTCATATATTTTTAAAAGTATATATTTTTGACAAAAAAAAAGTAATTAAATTAATAAATTATAAAATAAAATGTAATGTTTTTTTCAGAAAAAAAAAAAAAAAGATTGTTTTTTATTGATTTTTTTGTTGATAAAATGTTTTGATAATTTTATCATTTTTTAGGGTAATACTGTATATATATATTTTCGTAGAACTGCGATTGTAAAATTTTAGGCTTTTTTTATATTATTTTTCTCGGTAATTCTTTTGTTTTTCTTTTCTTAAGTCCGTAATTTTAAGATATTCGTATATATATAGATAGATTTTGATAGTATTGATTGTATCAAAGAATTTTAGTTAAATTTGAGTTTAATAGTGTTAAGAGAAAAAGGAGACTTTAGAAAAAAATATATAGTAAGGATATTTATCAATTAATAGTATGGTTTCTAATAATAGCTTGAACAGATTTTTGGAGTTATGTCTTGTGTTGAAACTTTCTTAGGTCATCCTAGATCATATTATGATCCAAAAAGTAATATTTATGCATCTATGATTTTATTAATTATTAATGTTTTATAAGTGATCTCGAATTCTATTAGTGATGATATTCCTTTTAGTTCTCAATTTGATGGTAATACTTCTTTTTTTTTATTATCTTATTTTTCTAGATGTCGAAAAAGCGATAGAAAATTTAGTTAAATGTGGAAAATTATTTTTTTGGAAAAATTCTTTACATTCTACCACACATTCTTGCTCTGAATATAGTAAATTCAATATCGATTTTTTTATATCTAAATTGTTTAGATTATCGTTCTTCATATCCTTTGATTGGTCGGCAAACAGGTATTTATGAATTAGAACATATGCACTCTCAACCTGTTGCAAATCCTTTGTCCTATCATACAAATCAGCATTATTATAACCAAAGAATAATTAGTCATACTGAGCAATTTCCACTGTCTCGACGTAAAAATAAATCTAATAGTGAGTGTTGTATTTATACTGCTTTAGAACGATCTGGTATGATCTAAATCTATCTTCATTTCATGATAACAATTGTAGGCTCTGAACAATTACCGTTTTCTCGTGAGAGAGCTAAAACTTCTTTAATAAAGAATGTGACTCCTACTGTAAATAATGATATAATGTCTTCGAGATTTTCGGAGACTCCGAGGGTTTTGCCTGATTATATATATGAAGAGCTAGATTTGAAGAATTCATCAATATCTACGTTATTTTTACCTCGAGAATCGTCATCAAATATCTATCCTTTTACATGTTTTCAAGAGTATTCTACAAATTTAAATACCGCTGTCGATGGTCAAACTGCAAATAACGTTATTGATATAGGTGATTCTGTGAACAAAAATTTGCCATTTTTTTATAAGAAAAAAAATATTATGGAAAATAATGAAGCTTCATCTTTAGTATCTGCGAATAAAGTTAAAAATATATTGGCGCCTATTGGTACAAAGTCGTCTGATGTATTATTATCTGTTGATCCGTTAAATCAGCAAGTTCAAGATACATCTACTTTTGTGAAGCCATTGCAATATTATTTCCCTGATGGCAAAGTATTGAAGAATGATATGTATAATGGTGTTTTTTTCAAAAAATATATGGGTTCTGGGAAATCTGTGCATTGGAATGGCCAGATTTGGAATGACGATGCTAATAATCTTGGTATAACTTCGAATAATAATGGTTTTGGACTAGATGTTTTGTGTTAAATTTATATTTTTTTTAAGAAAAATATATTATGGTGTATTGTCGATTTGTTATAATGGATTTTTTGAGCATTATATGATAATATAGTTGCTTTTTACATATAATGTTTATTCAACTTGATTTTAATATTAGTATTAGAACGAGACATTACGTAATAAAAAGAAAAAAGGTAAACTATATTGATATTATGTTTATTAGGTAATTTATGGGTTCGTGATATTGGTGATTAATGTTTTTTGGCAACTTTTTCAATACTCTATTAGTAATTAATGGTGTTATTAAAATTGGTAGATGTCTATGTTTGTACATTTAGTGAGGGTATTAGTGATTAGAAATATACTTGGATTAAATAGTTTATTTGAATGATTTATTCTTGGTAGAAATGTTAGGTTATATTGCTAAGTATCTTAAAAAATATGGATGGAACTGTTCTATTGTTCATTTTCAGTGATCTAAAAATGTATTAATATGCATTCAATATAAATATACATAGATATATTAAGCAAAAAAACTATGTAAATTAATGCAAATAGAGAAATATCTCCATGATAAATATTTGATCATATTAAACAAATTATTAACGAATAGCAATTATGATGACCGATAAATATTATCTCATTGGTAATTAGATTTATTTGAAAATTAAAGCAAATAATGGTAATTAAATTGGCTATGTTATATCTTTTTCATATATTCACTCTGATAATATTAAATTATATTATTAATTACTGAATGCTTGTCAAAATTGGTTTAAAATATAAAATTATAATTAATATATGTTACTTATAAGTTTTTTTTATTTAAAGCTTTAAATATATGTTAAGCATGAATAGTCTTTTTTAGATACAATCTATATTTTTAGGTTCTAAAAATATTATTATTTATCAAATATATATGGTAAATCTATTTTTTTTTTCTACATTTGTTATTTTTTTATTAAAATAACAATTAATGCATTTGAACTCTAATTTTTATATGTATATTATATTTCTATAAACGTAAAGTTTAAACTTTAAATTTTTATTCGGGTTTTTTCAGTTTTCATGTTTTTGTTATATAATAATTTAGCGATTTATGAATATATTTGAGCTAAATATATATTTTTATGTATTTATTAAATCTAATAATTATTATAAAAAAATATATTTTTAAATAAAACTGAAATTAGTAATGCGATTTTTTGGAATATATAAAATCATATATTAGTTTTAAGTATCATACAAATTTAAATTAATAAAGAATATATCTTTTTTAGTCATGTAATAATTAGTAATGATGAATATATATTTTTAAATTATATATTAATCATGATTAAATAAAAATGGCAATATGGTAAAATATATTTTTTTAATAAAAATGATGTAAAATGTTAATTTAAATAACTATAATTTACTAATAGAAATTAAATATGATTAAAATTATAAAATAAGTTATATAAAAATGTTATTGATAGATATAGAATTTTATTGATTAGACATTTTGATTATCTAAAGATTTCAAGATTAATAAAATTTTAGTATAGTATTTTAATATTTATTATAAATATTACAAATATGTTTTCTATTATTAAGAATGTATTATTTTGACATATAAAAATAAATATAATTATTAAAATGGCTAATTTAAAGAAATAATTAATATTTAAATATCACTATATTAAATCAGTTTATATTATAATAAATATTATTAATTATTATATAAATTATATATTATTATCCAAAATAACATTTATATAAAAATTTATGTATACAATCTACGTATTATTATATATATATGTATATTTTATATTAGGAAAAAATTATCAAATTAAAGATATTTAATTTATATATTTTTATCGACTCGATTTCAATTAAAACTTATACAAAAAAAAATATATTTTTTAGATTTTTATACATATATTAAAGTTTAATGTTTTCAAATAATATATTTCTACCAAACATTATATGCCCACATATTCGAAAAAAAAATAAATGCGATATATTATTATGTCCTTTTGGACACTCATATCATGAAACTCATTATAGAAATTCAAAAAAACAAAAGCAAACACATGAATCTAGTACTTCTAGTACTTCTGGTACATCATTACTAAGTATATAAGAAAAATAATAATTAATGAAATAGTAATTTCAGCTGATAATTATATTAATACAAATGCAACAAATTCATATGATAACAACTTTTATAATAAAACATTTCATTATAAAAAAAGTTATATCAATGATAATTTCACAAATACCATTCAATTAAATAATCTAGAAAAAAATGATTTAAAAAATAACTTATCACAAAATACATCTGAACTGGATAACGTAGGTCCAAAATTTATATCTACACTTATTCATATACCTCATGAAACTCGTGTCCATTTCTTTAAACTTATAAAACAGGAATTTCTAAGAATATATTCAGATGTGAATGAAAATGAATTTTTAGCGCAAAATGCTTCATTAAAAAAGGAACTTGAAATTTTAAATTCAACATATCAAAATAAAACCATTTATATCAATTCATGCAAAAACTTTATAATTTCTTTGAAAAAAACATATATCAAAAAATCAAATGAAATATCTGATAATGTATTACCAAATCTCGAACATATGAATATATCACTATCAGATCTCGAAAAATATATATTAAATAATGACCAACTTCAAACAGCTGGATATATTTTAGAGATACCTGTACCTAAAACACAGTCAACTGATATTTTTTTGCATTGTGATAGATGTAATATGCCATTTTCAATAGATAAAAACAATACTTATACAAAATGCAATTACCATTGGGGAAAATTAATTAAAACTAGTTACGGTAATATTCCTTAATTAATACTATTAATATTTAACATATAAGAACAAAATAAAATATATTCATGTTGCTATGATAATAATACTTATTCAAAAGGATGCATAACATCACCTCATCATGTCTTCAAAATTACATCGCCATCAAAACTATCAGCGCAAATACAATTTGTTGAATCTCAAGCACCTATGCAACAATCATCCTTTTTGACAGCAGCTGTTCTTGATTGTGAAATGATTTATACTACAGGAGGAATGGAACTAGCTAGAGTTACTATTTATGATATTAACGAAAATTTGTTACTTGATAAATTAATTAAGCCAAAAAACAAAGTCTTAGACTTCAATACTCGTTGGAGTGGTATAAAATCGTTAAATGATGCAAAAATTTCATTGTCTGATTTACATAATATCATTTTTATAGAATTGAAACTATGCAATTTAACTATATTAATAGGACATGGTTTAGAAAATGATTTAATAGCTATAAGACTTATTCATAAACGTATAATAGATACAGCATTGTTATTTCAACATAAAAAAGGATTACAACACAAATACTCATTAAAATACCTTGCAAAAAAGTATCTTAAACGAGAAATACAAACAAATGTTGTAGATGGACATGATAGTAAAGAAGATGCTAAAGCAACATTAGATCTTCTCCGATATAAAATCTATCATGATAAATTAAAGAAATAATTTTCACATAAAAATATATAGTTTTTATGTTACAATTCATTGTCTTTGACCAAAATCAGTTATTATGTTTAATATTTATATCACATTATATTATTAATTCACAATTACATATAGCTATAATATAATTTAATTAGTATATAACGTAGTCCAGAGTTAATTTAATTACATCTAACAAAATACATAAAAGATGTTAATATAATTGATTTTACAAAGATAATTCATTATATAAACAGCATATACATTCTACACTAATCTACTCATTAATAGTTATAAACAATAATTAACCAATGCAAGTAGAATTTTCAATTTTAAAGTTTAGAAATCTTAAAAAACCCGAAACATTTCAGTATTGGACTAAATATATAAAAAAAATAGTACAAATATATTAAATATAAATTATATCAATATATTTTTAAACATAAAAATAATATAAATTAAAATGAAGTTATTATTAATCATACAAAAATTTTTGATATAATATTTAAATATAATTTATCATACTAAATTTCAAAAAAAATATGAATACAGTTCAGCCAAACAAGTTAAATTACGAAAAATATATACAAAAACAATTAATATTTTGAATATTCAAAATTCTATAGAAACATTTTTTTTTTTTTAAAAAAAATATTAATAAAAAACATATATAAATTATTATATATAATATAGAGTTAATAGGTATTATATAATTTTATTATAATATTATTATGTTAATTTATACCGTTACAATTATTATATACGCCAATAATTTAACTAAAAAAACATCTATAGGCAATCAAATATTATCAAGATAAAAATAAATCCCAAGTTATTTTACAATAAAATTATTTTTTTAAAAAATAAAATTATAATATTACATTAACAATTTTAGATAAAATTAAATATTCAGTATTCATATCTATTTTTTATATATTGTATATTCATAATGATCATTAAAATATTTACATTGCATTTTTGCAAAACTTTACACCATATAATCAGAAAAAAATAAAAACACTGTTTAATCATATATATTTATTTTAATAAACATCTATAATAAATATAATTTAGAATATGTTATATAATTTTAACAATACATGAAAAAAGTTACGTTAGAATTACAAAAAAAATAGTAATAATCACCATTTAAGATGTTATTCAGTTTTCGCACATTCACAATAACTTATTTTTAAATATTATATATTTTTTCTCAAATCATTTACATTTTTTAAAAAATATCGTTTATCATAATTTTTAACATATTAAATATCAAAAAAACAAACATGATATTTTTTTCAAATACAATACTATATTTTGTATCCAAAAAAAAACAATTATCAAAATTTATATTTTTTACACATATATAAACATATTAACAAAATAATATATCTTTCAATTGTGTAAAACATATAACATAATAAAACAGACATAAAATAAAAATATCATAAATTCTATAGAATAATAATATCATGTTAATTACAGTTATAAACAAGATTTTTATTAGTCATTTATAATAAAAAAATATTTTAAAATTGAGTATGCTATAAAGTAACTCAGACATTGTCAATTCTCAACTACATTATTGTAGGCTATTTATATTTTTCAAATGCAGTTCCAAATATAGGTATTTCAAATCATACATTGAAGCAATTTTTAAATCCTAAATATGTATCAATTAAAACTTAAGTTATTTAAACATAATAGAATTTTAAAAAAATAATTAACTATCAAATTGTATATCTAGGGATAATAAAGCCACTACTGTTAGAATCGCAAATAAAAAAAATTAATACTAAAAATACAAAATTAAGAATAGCATTAGCATTTTTTCAATATTTACAAAGACTGTTCAGACTTCCCAGTTTCCCAATCTAATGACTTCTTAACAGCCTTTTCCCATAAACAAAACATACGTTGTCGTTCATCATCACTATTTTTTGGAGAGAAAACACATATATTTGCTGAATTAATATCCTGCAATTCTTCTACATTTTTCCAAACTTTAACAGCAAGACCAGCAGCAATAGCAGAACCTAATGCGGTAACTTCACGCATTTGAGGCCTATTAACATTGATACCAACAATATCAGACTGAATCTAAAGAATGAATAAAACAAAAATACAAACTTTTAACATACTTGCATACAAATATCGGAATTAGTTATACCACCATCAACATTAAGACACGTTAAAGGGGTTCCAGAATCTCTATTCATTACATCCAAAATTGCTTTAGTCTGAAAACAAATAGCTTCCAATATTGAACGCGCAATATGCTCTTTAGTAGTATAATTTGTAATTCCTACTTTAGAAAAAATATCAACAAGATTTTTTTAAGAAACAAAATACTCACATATAGTACCACGTGCATCATCACGCCAATATGGAGCAAAAAGACCAGAAAAAGCAGTAACGAAAACAACACCTGCAGTATCTACTTTAAAGTAAAAATAAACAATCAATAAAAAAGAAGTATTACCCTTTACAGATGCAGCCATTTCATCAATTTGAGAAGCTTCAGTAATAATTCCCATTTGATCACGAAACCATTTTATAGCAGCACCAGCTACAGCAATTGAGCCTATTATAAAATATTAAAAAATGTAAATTATAACATTGAAAACATGCACCTTCCAAAGCATAAACAGGCTTCTGTCCTTTAAAGAAATACCCAACAGTTGTTAAAAGACCTTCACGTGAAATAACAGGGGTTTCGCCAGTATTACAAAGCAAAAAACAACTAAAAACTATTATTAATAACAACAATAATAATAATAAAACATACCCAGTTCCATAAGTATTTTTAGCAGATCCAGGAGTGAACGCTAAATGTCCTACTAAAGCCGCAGATTGATCACCTAAGCATCCTGAAAGTGGGGTTCCACAAAGTGGTCCACTAGAAAATTCACCATAAACCTCTGAAGAGCATCTAATCTCCGGAAGATGAAGTTTTTCAAGACCAAAAAACCTAATAAGTGATTCATCATATTTTAAAGTTTTTATATTCATCAACATCGTACGAGAGCAATTCGTAGCATCAGTGATATGAATACCACCATTTATACCACCAGTAAGATTATAAATTAACCAGGAATCAATAGTCCCTAATAACCAATTAGAATTAAACAAGTTGTTTAAAACAATCAACCAAAAACAAGCCTGCCATTATCGTAAACTTCTCGAACATTTTTAACATTGTCAAGTAGCCAACGAAGTTTCACAGCGGAAAAATATGTAGAAATAGGAAGACCACATTTTTCATGAATTTCAGAAGCACCTTCTTTTTGTTTTAATTGAGATACAACATCAATAGTACGAGTATCCGACCATACAATTGCATTATAAAGAGGATTTCCGGTGATCTTATCCCATACAACTCTTACTAGCTTTTAGTTTAGGTTACTAAAAAATATTTATATATCATACATTGTTTCCCGCTGATTTGTAATACCAACACCTTTAATTTGTCGAACACTCTTGTCTTTTTTAACAAAATCTTCTATTGCTTTTCTAATACAAATCTCAACAGTCTCTAAAATCTCCATTGGATCATGCTCAATCCAGCCAGGACAAGGATAAATCTGCTTAAACTCATGCTGATATTGAGATACAATAGAACCAGTTTTATCAAATATAAGAAACCGAGTGCTTGTAGTCCCCTATTGGATCAAAATAATATGAAACATTTTCGACCTGTAATAATAAAAAAAATACCTGATCAATAGCACCTATATATTCTGAAAACATTTTCTAATTAATTTTCATCTAAATTTAATGGCTTAAAAATTTATCAATTAAAGACTTGCTGAAAAAATGGTTAAAATAAAAAAAACGGATAAAGTATATTTATTTCTTGCTATGTTCTATTATTTAAACTTATTAAACCTTATACAATAATATTTACGAATGATTATTCACGTGATTAAATACTAACCTAATATGAAATAAAATAGATTTTACGCTATATATTTTTAATTATTGATTTTCAATAAATCAAATTTTAGAGATAATAACATAAATTATTTAAAATAGGCTTATCATTATTAAACTAAATAAATTTCAAAAATAACACATATCTACATAATTATAAAATAAAAATAATATTTTAATGTATTTTTTATAGATTATAAAAAATGTAAACTAAAAGTCGGAATTTAAAATAAAAACAGTCATATTTTCTATAACTCGAAAAGCTCTATTGAATAAATAATATATATAATAATTAAAAAATAAATCATAAAAAAATGGTATGTTGATTTTATATATTAGCATGATCTCTTTCTCAGATAAGTACTATGTATCTTTATTTTTTAAGATAATACTGCAAAATTATATATGCTAAATATTTTAAATAAAATACTAATAAAAAAAATAATTTTATGATACAGCAAAATGCATTTTTAATTAGATGATAATTAACTAACTTTTAATACTTTAGCCTTCTAAATCAAACACTGTAAAAAAAACAGTAGAGACATATCCAATAAAAAAAGCAACATCAAAATCCAAGAATCTTCTTTTCGAAAAGAAACCTAAAAACTTTAGTATTGGTGAGAATTAAGCTTGATTTAGTAAAAGACGCTTTCATTTCTTATTCATTATTAGGTCAGGATATTCAACCTAAACGTGATCTGACACGTTTTGTTAAATGGCCTCGTTATGTACAAATTCAAAGACAAAAGAGAATTCTAAGCATGCGTTTGAAGGTCCCTCCAGCAATTTCTCAATTTAGTTTTACTTTAGAGAAAAATATTGCGCTCGAACTTTTTAGGCTTCTTAATAAGTATAGGCCTGAAACTAAAATTGAAAAAAAACAAAGGCTTCTCAGTAAAGCAGAAGACAATTTTAAGGGGGTAGTAGCAAAAGATTTAGAAAAAAAGCCTTTTTGTGTCAAGTAAGCTATTTCTATTTATCTAAATATTTATAATTTTTTAATTAGAAGTGGATTAAATCATATAGTATCTCTTATAGAAAATAAGAAAGCATCGCTTGTAATAATTGCTAATGATGTTGATCCTATTGAATTGGTGGTCTATTTGCCTTCGCTTTGCCGAAAAATGGGCGTTCCATACTGTGTATGATTTTTTAATTATTTTATTGTTTATTTACTTAAAATAGATTATAAAGAATAAAGCACGTCTTGGAATTGTTGTTCATAGAAAAACGTCAGCGGTACTTGCTTTTACTGAGGTTAGGTTCGAAGATAAAAATACGCTGGCTACTTTAATTTCAGCTATTAGAGTAAACTATTTGATTTTTTTTTTGAGTAAAATTTAATTAATATAGGTTAATTATAATGATAAATATGATGAATTTAGACGTATATGGGGAGGTGGTATAATGGGTAAGAAATTAGTTAGTATTAATATTTCGATGTAATTTGTATTATTAGGTCAAAAAAGCATCAATGCTACTATTAAAAAACAAAAGACTACTGAATGATCTACTAGGATTTAATCACATATAATCAAATTGTATAAGAAATAAAAATTTATATGTATAGAATTATAAATATTTTTATTTATAAACAAATAAATTGTCATATATCTATTGTAATTACTATAAAGTTTTCCAATAAGCGCACTTTTAATGGTTAATATATTAATAGTTAATATTCATATGTGTTTTAATCATTCATTATTCTACTTTAAAAAATAATATTAAAATTAAAAAAATAGATTTTCAATAGTATTTATTTAAAACAATATTCCCAAGAGATTTAATAAGGTATCTATAAATTTACAAATATATTATTGAATAATTACTAGTAATATAAATCCAAATAACTTATTATTAAACTTAAAATTTAATAATACAATCTAATTTGATATATTCTCAGAAACTATAGATCGATAGTCTATATTAATGTTATAGATTATATAATTATTTATTAAATTTACTATATATAAACTTCGTAATTTTTTAATATAATTAAAAAATTGTTAAAAATATAGCATATTTTTTTTATTTTTTTAAAAATTAATTTACAATCATGCAAAAATGTTTTGCGAATACATCAAATTATTATACTTTTACTTTTAAATACTGTATTTTACTAAGTGACATGAAGTAAAAACAAACACATACTAAATATATTTTAATAAGCACCAAATTTTATGACTTAATTCTATTATTTTAAATAATATGTAAATAACATTTAACATTATAAATATAATTTTTATAAATATCCATAAATTTCAGAAACTTAACACTAATATTAATAAATTTACAATTATATAAATAAGATATATTATTTCATAAACTGTAAAAAATCAAGTTATTAAATAATTTAATATAATAAATGAATCTAAGAAATATAAACATATGCTTTTTTTCAATAATTCTATTATTTTATACTACAAAATATTTAAAAAAGCAATAAATAAAAATATTAAAACAACAATTAAATTGTATAAAATATACTATTTAAATAATAGTTTAGAAAATTATATAAATATTTTTATCATATTTAATAAAATTACTATTTAATAATTCTAAACGTAATACTTTTTTTAAAGCGTCGATCTTACTAATTGACAAGTTAAACCATTTCTAAGCAAAATTATGAAAAAATATCAAAAATGCTTGAGTCTCTTGCAGCAGGTATATTAGATTATAAAAAACAATATCAAATGTTACTAATTTATTATTTAAGCAATTTTAAAAAGATTTCTTGGATCATATGTAGAAAATTTTGACGTAACATATTTTTTAACTATAATAGTTTCTAACAATTATAGCCTAAACAACTAAATATTGGTATATGGAAAGGAGATGTTAAACTTAGGTACTTAAAGCTCAAAAAAGAAGTTTCTAAAGCTATCTAAATAATATTTTATAATAATTTGAATTAAGGCGCTTGATATGTTTGAACTTCCTATAAATATTTATGAGGGGTTTCTTGGAGAATTAGTTTTACAAATTCCATGGTCCAATTTGAAAAACAAGGCTGTAAAAGTTATTATTGAAAACGTATTTTTACTTGCATTTCCTAAAGATAACCAAGAAGTAAAATATTTATCTATTATTTAATTTATTATTAACATCTACAATAGTATAACCAAGAAAAAGAAAATCAGAAAGCTCAAGATCTTAAAAGAGAAAAACTAGAAAGGTATAATTATGCCTTTAAATACCAATTTATATTTCTGATTATTTTTATTTATAGAGCGGAACTTCTTGACCAGCGTATATCACGTAACAATACTCAAAAAGACCATTCGTTTATAAATAGTCTTATTACAAAGGTAATATATAAATGGTTTGCCTATGGTGCTAAGCAACTAGATTATTGATAATCTTCAAATTACAATTAAAAATATCCATATTCGTTATGAAGATAAGTTAAGCGATCCAGAGGTATACCTATAGTCATTTTTTTTCATAAATTTTAAGAATATAGCATCCTTTTTCTATAGGAATTACACTTTCAGAATTTTCTGCTATATCTACAAATGATAAATGGGAACCTATTTTTATACAAAACAACGTAGATTTTATACATAAATTAGTTACCCTTGATTTTTTAACTATATATTGGAACATAGATTCTTACTCTTTTTCTGAAAAATCATCTAGTGAATTATTAAAATGTTTTAAAGATTTTATTGTTAAAAATTGTCATACTCCAAATCATCAATTAATATTAAAACCTGTTAGCGGGATAGGTCATATTACTTTAAACAAAAATAATGTGGAAGGGTTCTCTAAAACTGACATACAGCTTATTTTTGAAGAATTAAGCATTGCTTTTAACAATCATCAATATATAAGTGCTCTTATGATGGTTGATCTTTTCCACTTTTTTATTCGTCAACAAAAATACCATCGCTTTCGTCCAACAGGTGATGCCTCTAAATCTGTTAAAAACAATCCAAAACTTTGGCTACAATTTGCAGCAAATTCAATTTTACATGAAATACATGAAAAAAACTTCAAATGGTCATGGAGTTATTTCAAAAAAAGGAGAGATCAACGCTTAAAATATCTTGATCTTTTTAGGAAAAAATTACTTGAAAAAATCGATGTAGTAGAAAACGAAGAACTTCAACAGCTAGAATATTTACTTTCATATGAAGATATTCGTTTTTATAGATCTTTAACAAAAAATAAACTAAGAAAAGAAAAAATATTATCACTTAAAAGTAACTCTCAACAATCACAAGGTTGGCTATCATGGATATGGAGTGGCTCACAAAATACAAACGATCAAAGTAAAGATGATTTAATTATGACAGATGAGCAGCGGAAAGAACTTTATGATGCAATAGAATGGGATGAAAAAAAGGAGATAGCTGAAAATTTAAATAATTCTATTGAATCTGTCAACTTAAAATTGTCTTTAAGCCTTAAAACAGGAAGTTTCACACTTATAGAAAAAACAATTATAAAACAAAAAAATATAATATCAATATTTTTTAACGATTTTAATTCAAATATTATCCAACGTCCTACTTCATTTGCATGTGAATTTGACCTAGGAGGATTAAATGTTTATGATGGAACTACTGAAAACAACATATACTCTCAGATAGTTAAAGTTAATATTAATGAAGACAAAATAAATGAGATACCTGATCCAGCTTTTATACAAGAAAATCTTAATCTAGAAAAAGAGTCACTGATTTTTGATAGCTCATCACCATTTTTCTACTTCAAATTTGAAAAAAATCCTCTTGATAGTGACGCAGATACATCGGTGACAGCAAGACTAAAATCTATGGAAGTTATATATAATCCTCATTGTTTAACTAGCGTTTCTAATTTTTTTAAACCACCTAAAAGTCAAATGGTAAGTATAGAAGTTTTAATGGAAGCAGCAAGTGCTACAGTTGAAGGAATTAGAAATCAGACAAGAGCAGGTTTAGAATTTGCATTAGAAGAACACAAAACTATTTCAGCTAAACTTGATCTTCAGGCTCCTTTAATTATTATTCCACAAAGGTTCAGAAAACATATAAAAATATTCATTTGTATTTAACTTTAATAGTTATACAGAAATTAGCAGCAATTGCATAATATTGGATGCAGGTCATATTAGTCTTGAAAGTAACTTAGTAGAAAAAGAAAAAATTAGAGAAATACAATCAAAACACAATAAAGTATATAGCCAAAAAGATTATTCAAATCTAAAATCCTTAATGTATGATAAATTTTCTCTTAAATTTGAATCTATTCAAGTAAGTAATTAATATTTATAATAAAATGTATTGAACATGTTAAGTTACTAATTGGACTATCTGTTACTGATGCTTTAGAGGAACTTAGAAAAAAAAATTGCACCAAAAATTTCAAAATTATTGATAAAACAGACATGTTTTTCTTATTAGAAATTTCTATATTGCCTAAAGCTTCAAATTTAACGAAATTTAAAATCTCAGGACATCTTCCTCTTTTACATGCATCTATATCAGATAGAGAATATAAAGTTTTAACAGAAATTATTAATGCAGCAATTCCATCTTTCGAAGAAAATGATAAAATAAAAGAAAAAGAATTTCAGAATACGCTTTCTAATTCATTTAAGTATAATAATGATAGATCAATATCTTTCAATTTTTCTCATAAAGAGGACCTAATTATTGATGATTCAGACTTTTCCGACGATAAAGAAACAGAACAATATCAAGATGCTATATGTTGTAACCAGGTTTTTTTTTCTTATATATATTGTATATATATAATATTTATCATTATATCTAGGACTTTTCTATTTTTCAACAAAAAATTTTTGAATTAAATTTCATGGTAAATAAACTACAAATATCATTATACAAAGTGAACATCGAAAAAAATAACTCAGACGAATTGCTTGTAAATATTGTTCTAGAACATTTCTCTTTACTTTTTTCAGAAACATTTTATGATATGACTGCTAAAATAATTTTAAGAAGATTTATTATTGAAGATAAAATAGAAACCAATTCGCCTATTGAATTTAGAAATTTAATATCATCGGATAATATAACAAAAGAGAATAACGAAACTACTGATCTCGTTCATATAAAATATACTAAAATGAAAACCCAATCGTCAGATTTTACTTCAATCTATAGTGATATCGAACAAAATATAAACATATCTTTATCCACTATTACGTTTGTAATAACAAGAAAAACCATTCTTACGCTCTTTGATTTTATTATTACTACTTTTGTTACTTCAAATGATGAGGATATGCAAAAGAGTTCTGTTGAGAAAAACATAGTAATCAAAAATAACCAAGATCATAGAATTTTATCCAATAAAATATATGTAAAGGTTGAACTCATAGGAATAGTCTTTATTCTTAATGACGACGGGATACGTCTATCGACTCTTACATTAAATAAAGCAGATATTAGTATTTTTCTAACACAAAAAACTGTACGTGTTGATGC